ACAAGACCGACAGTCTACCCAGAACGAGTCCCTACGAACTCAGAGACAGTACACCAGTTAATCGAGCATCCACAAGCCGACAAAACGCCTGTTCTTGCGCGGCACACAAGGTTCATTAACAATGCTGCAAAGCCTAAAATAATGTGTGAGAACGTACTGCCGTACTCTATCTGAAAGATACACAACATTTAAACCACAAGAATTGTCAGGAAATACTCGATGCGAAGTGCGTATAGTAAACAGTGAGGTCTTTCTCATAAATGTGAAATTTTTTCGGGTATAGCCTATGCTTTTGCCTTAAGTTTAGTTCCAACTTTAGCAGTTCTGGCGCCGAGCATAGACAAAGCTGAGAGAACGAGCAATACACCTGACCACACTTGGAGTATATCCCAGTTCTTTCCACCATTCGTTGATAAAATAGCGCCTGCGATTGGACTCCCTATCAGTGATCCAATCCCGGCTGCCATAAAAGCCATGCTCATTCTACCCCCCAGAGATGCTACATCTGGTGACAAGCTCGCAACGGTTGGAGCTGGTAGACTGACGAAAGTGCCAGTGAAAAATCCGTACAAAACGGAGAAAGCAAGGATACCTTGTACATTCCTAATGGCTATAAGTGAGAGGCTTAGAACTGCTGAGGCGAATGCAAATACCATCTGCATATTCAAAGTTCCAACGTAGTCAGCCGCGAAGTTGGGTAATATTCGGCCCAGAGACGAGCCAGCGTTGATAAGTGCTGGCAGGTAAAATGCTAAATAAGAGCTCACTCCGGCTCTGCCCATGGCATATAGTTGGATATAAAAGAAGACGACATAGATGCCCATATATCCGAAAAGTATTCCAAACCCGAAGAAGACATAGGGCACATCTTTCAGGGAGGAAACATCGAAGAGAGATCTTCGAGTTTTAGGGTACTGAAGCGGACGCATGATGATAAGAGGGAGTATAAGAGTCGCCATCATTATGAAACCAATAACTCGAGTGGCCCAGCCAAATCCAATCTTAGGTACCAGCTGGGACCAAAGAATTGGGTAAACAACTCCGCCTAAGTCAAGTTAGCACAGAATTGATATTAATGGGCCCAGGCTATTTTATTCTAACCAACACTGCTACCAAGGGATGCAATGCCCGTTGCAAATGCTTTTTTGGTGCTAAAATACTGGGATACGATAGTGACCCCAGGAAGGAAGAGACATCCAAACCCGACACCAGTAACTACACCTTGAGCTAGGAATAGCTGCCAGTAGCTTTTGCACAGACTTGTCATGAAAACTCCTAGCAAAGTCAAAAAAGTGCCTGATATTAAGAGTGACTGAACGTAACCGGCGTCATAGACTGGTCCAACAACAGTGCTGATAAAACAGAGAAGACACACTTGAATCGAACCTATCCATGATATGGCAGAATCAGAGGCTTTTTCTGCGATATGATAGGTATAGTATGCCTGGAATACACCGTACATATTGACAATTCCCCTAGAGCTTGCATTTAGCCAAAAAAAAAAAACCCCACGGTTGTATCTCGAAACAGCATAACTCACCAGGTATTTAGGAAGATACAAAAGGAGGCTGCAACCTGTAGCCAAGCTAGCATACCACCGTTTGGAGGGGTAGGCAAAACTTGAGCCGCAGGGGACTGTGGTGATGGGTTGTCCACCTCATCCTGTAAGACTGAAGTACTATCATTGGCTCTGGTTTATAGGTTAGCCGCAATGAATGAATTGCGAGTCTTATCTGGTTGAAGACAAAATCCTTACAGATACGGTGTACAATTTTCAGGAGAGTAATCTTCGGTGTCTGTAGTTCTCTCGTTACAAAGCTGAGACGTAGGATTGATAAAAGAATGAGGTTCCTGCATGATGTGGGAAAGGAGGGGGGAAATGGCGAAGGTAGGGCCAAGAGAAACCTATACTGTGAGAGTTGAAAGCGATATCAAATGTCTGTGTATTGAAATAGACGAAAGGAACAATCATAGGTAATCAAGCTTGCCGGCTAGTCCAAGGTATGAAAATAGGGTCAGAGACGAGAAGCCGCTTCTTATATGTTCCATTTTTCGCATCCTGCATTGTGTATAACTAATGCAACAGGGGTAAGAAACCTCGAAGGCTTACATAGTACATCTAAATTCCCTGTCCCAGCTCCACTGATAACTAATTGGCTATCAATTTGAAATGGCGGGGTGCGATCTTCATCAGCGCATATTTAGGTCGGGGATATTGGATTTCTGTATTTCGCATGGTCAGGCTAGAATACTCCAGCAAAGATGGCCTCAGGTGCATTACTTACTTCGCCGAGACGCCAGCATAAAGTAATTCGAGGACTAACACATCATATTACCTCCCATTCTCAATACTCTATACCGCATAGAGTAATTTTGGGTTAAAGTAAAGAGGATTAAGCCGCACAAGGAACTGATAATCACTAGCCTAACCGAAGAATTCGTCGGGGAAATGTATAAATATTCAAAGGTTCGTTCAGTTCTCCCCATAGAGACCATCACACGTAACCTCTACTATCACGTTGTCGCTGTCCGTTACTACTTAGTAATATTTCGTTCTTACTCGAAGAAACGTCACCAATAGCGGTGCGGACTTGTTCAATTCCCTGGAATCCATCTCAATACGAGATACGGACCCCTGAAAGCTTCTAGAAACTGCTTTAATGACAAATTCGGAGAAGCATAATGCCAGCAGCCTTGAGATTGGGTGGGCTTTGTTGTGACGCACTTTATCCGAATTGAGCAGTAATTGTCTAGACAGGTATCAAATTTAAATGGCATAATCATCATAAATTGAAAAAGGTGCGAGGGTCCTTATTTCCAAATAAAATAATATTCCACATTATGGGGTGCGTACATTGCATGTATAGGTCCAGGAGTTGTATTGCACTTTTAATGTGGCTTGCCAGCGTCAAACACCAATATGTTTGGGGGTAGGCATCATGGACGAGACCAACATGGGCAGTAGGAGGAATGAAAATAAATGTAGGCGTATATTATATCCTGAAATGAGCAGATAAAAAGCCTTTGTGCCTTACACAGCAACTTCTCGATGTCCACTTATACTTACCCAATGAGTGCCTTCTTTATCTCAACTGCAGCCTATGCTAAGTCCAAGGGTGCCCTGTAAATTGTCAATAGTGCTCAAGAATCGCCCCTGGTCTTTTCATCGGAAGCCTTTTGAGGTGATTTTTTATATGTCTTGAACCGTATAATAAAGTCCAAAGGAAGAAAGTGGCCAACTGGACTGAGCAGTATGGCAACGTAAAATCGTATCTTCTTTGGTAAATGTGTGGCGATATATAATCTGCTATACTGACAATATAAACGGAAAGGTACCATGGCCGACACAGTGGCCCGTGTCGGTAGTCAGTCCTTGCAGAGTGTTTATAAGTTGACCTGGAGGTTTATCCTTTAGCTAGCAAGTTTTTTGGTACTAGGGTGTGCGCTTCTGACGAGAAGGTGAAAAACGCACACAAGTAACGTAGGCTGCGGCAAGGGTATAGCCATAAGATGATCCATGACCTGTAGGCCCGTGAAGCATCTGGCAACGAGACTCCCTTGATCCTAGGCAACATCCTTTGTCAAGGTCTCCTGAGCGAAGACGAGGTTCACTTGGACGCCCTCTGCTGTCAGTATAATGGCCATACCACTCGACCAAGAGATCATACACCAGCAGTTGATCACAGATGCTATCACTTGGTCGCTGTATTACTTATATGCTCGAGTTCGTTGCACGTGATAAACAGCTTAGTCATGGGTCTGTTGGTGTGCAGCTGGCATAGCAATGATAGGAAGTGCAATTAATTATAATAAAACAGTACTTGATAAAGGCGTATTCTATAGGTAATTACTATAATCTACGAGGCGATTATAGCCTAATTCTAAAGTGGCAATAAATAACCAATTAATAAAAAAACAAAGGCTACCACCTATGTCAGCACATTTTGGTAGCAACCTTGATTTACTCTGTACAACTATAGTCATGCAACTATACCACTTCCTGGTATATCCTCCTGCTCTACCTCCGTCCTCCGTAATATGCCGGCTGATGGACTGACCCGAAGTGGGCGGCGAATGCAGGGGGCCGCGGAAAAAAGACAAAAAAGTCGATAAAAGGCCGCACGAACTCCGCTTCCATTCCAGCCTGACAGTGACACGTTATCCTCTGGGGAGACTCTGACAGGATCGCAAAAGAGGGACTGGTGTGACGCCCTTTCTTTGCTTCACAGTTGGGGTGGGAAAAGGGTGATCCGGCGGTTCCAAGGTCTAGAAGTTTGAATTGGCACTGGCTGGGGCGCAGAGTAACTACAAGAGAATCCATGTTCTCCGCAGCGTATCAACTGGCAAGCATCTTACTGGCGCAGAACCCGTCGGATGCAGCCGCGGAGGGGTTTGAAAAAAAAGGGGTTAGAAAGATAAAAATATGCACTCCGTATGTCGATGAGACATGGACGATCAGGCTGACCGGGGATGACTATAGATAGTAAGCTGGAAGGCAGCCAGAGAGTATGTTAGATCCACGGCTGAGGCTTGCCACACATGACCAAATAGAGAGTAAAAGATGTTAGATTAAAGAAGTAGAGGCAGTGAATAAGATGGTAATGAAAGAGTAAAAAGAAAGAGAAGAAAAAGGCCTTGGAAGAAAGCGGCGAAGGTCATGAGGATTCATGCCCAACCACGTGACTTCTCATCCAAGGGCGTTTTTTTCCTTCCCTTGCTTGGTCTTCACCGACTTCCACCGGCAGAACTTCTTCCTCCTCTTCTTCCTCTTCTTCCTCTTCTTTCTCTCTACGACATCCAACTCCCACGCACACCATCTCCTGGCTCACCCCTCAAAAGAAGAGGGAGCCATTTGTCAACCCTCCTACCGAAGGACCTGATTCTTTTCCAACGAGCCTTAAGGTAAGACTTTTGAGCTTGGCATCTGGATGATGGATGATGATGATGCTGTGTCCTCCTTAGCCGCCGCCCCCAAAAAAGCCAGCCTCACCACTTCACTTCCAAGCAACCCAACTCCTGCCACTTCACCTCTGGCACTTAAACCTGTGGACTTCGAGCAGTCTTCTTCTCTTCGTCCCCTTATCCTGCTCCTCTTTTCTTCCTCTTGCCTTCTTTATCTCCATCCACGACTTTGTGTCGAAAAAAAAAAAAAACTCAACCTTTTGTTACTGACCTGCCCTTTTAATAGCTAAATCTCGGCCCGTTGCATAATCTGAACGTTTCCCCATCTATTTCAGGGCAATAGACAGAACAAACTGATACAACAATAAAAAACACACAAGTCTCACGCGTCGATCTGTGTTCACCACATTTCGACCTTTTTATTAGCAGCTGAGTGATTAATATTTCGGACACTCTTCACAATGACGACCATGGTTAGTCTATCAGAAGTTGGTGACATGAAAAAGAGAGGCTTGTTCTAACGATAGATAGGATCTCCGTGTTGGCAACAAGTACCGTATTGGCCGAAAGATCGGAAGTGGTAGTTTCGGTGATATCTACCTTGGTAGGCTTAACTCTTCTACTTTTCTGTATGTCTAGGCTAACCTTGGACTGCCTACTAGGAACAAACATTATCTCGGGTGAAGAAATTGCCATCAAGCTAGAGTCTGTCAAGGCCAAGCACCCTCAGCTTGAATATGAAGCCCGCGTCTACAAGTCTCTTGCTGGTGGAGTTGGCATCCCTTTCGTCCGCTGGTTCGGAACCGAGTGTGACTACAATGCCATGGTCATTGACCTCCTCGGACCCAGCTTGGAGGATTTGTTTAACTTCTGCAACCGCAAGTTCTCTCTGAAGACTGTCCTTCTGCTTGCCGACCAGCTCATCTCACGTATCGAGTATATCCACGCAAAGTCGTTCATCCACCGTGATATCAAGCCAGACAACTTCCTCATGGGCATCGGAAAGCGTGGCAACCAGGTCAACGTTATCGATTTCGGTCTGGCCAAGAAATATCGTGACCCAAAAACTCACTTCCACATTCCATACCGTGAGAACAAGAACTTGACCGGCACCGCCCGTTATGCCAGTATTAATACCCACTTGGGTGTCGAGCAGTCCCGTCGTGATGACATGGAATCCCTTGGATATGTCATGCTCTATTTCTGCCGTGGATCTTTGCCCTGGCAGGGACTCAAGGCTGCCACCAAGAAGCAGAAATACGACCGTATCATGGAGAAAAAGATGACTACCCCCACTGAGGTGCTCTGCCGTGGCTTCCCCAATGAGTTTGCCGTTTACCTGAACTATACCCGTTCTCTCCGCTTCGACGACAAGCCTGACTACTCTTACCTCCGTAAGATCTTCCGTGACCTCTTCGTCCGAGAGTCCTTCCAGTATGACTATGTCTTTGACTGGACCGTCTACAAATACCAGAAGAATGCTCAGGCTATTGCTCAGGCCACTGGAAATGCTGGCAATGGCCAGGATGAAGACGAACGTCCACGCCGCCTTGCAAACGTTGGTGCTACTTCCGGAAACCCTATCCAAATTAAGCCAACTGCTATGGCCCCTCGCCGCAAAGTGGTGGAACGCGGGACTTTCGAAAACCCAGAGACGAACCGTGCAATTGGCGGAAGCGATAGGATGTGAGTATCTGCAACTGTTGGTTCCGAGTAAGGAACACTCCCCCTCTGCCTGGGCTTGTGCTTTGAAGTGGTCCTTTTTGATGACGCTGTGCTGGCCGCGAGAGAGGGACAAACCTTTCGTTTTTTTTTCCATCGAAAATCTGACTAATGTTATAGTTTTCGGCGCTAGGCTTCGTTCCGCTTCTAAAGGTGGTGCTAATGTGGTCCCTGGTTACAACACGGCTCCTTATCACCGTTCATCAAAGCGGGATGAAGGTAACAACGGTACTCAATGGTAATCATCCAACAAGCAACACGGTTTTCAATGATTTGAGTGGATTTTGGGGTGTGCTCACCAACCCCCCAGTCTTCTCATATCTATCTTTTCATATTTGAACTTTGGGCAAAGATTATTTCCATCTACCCTAGAGTTCATCCTGTCTGTTCTGCAAATCACCACCCTCACCATGACTGTTTATGCTCCGGTCGACATTTCTTTTATCATCAATCTGCTTCTTGGGCTGCATCTTGATCCACCCTTTGATTAATCAAACCACCATGACTTAATTTTTTGTCCTTCATTCTTTCATGGAATATCTTCCTGGGGTTTCAAGATGCACCAAGTCGCTGTCTATCTTTGTCGAGCAGAAGTACCATCATCATTGAAGGGGAGGGGCTTTCAGACAGACATTCTTTTGGCAGGATACGTTTTTAACAGTTTCACTGGGCATGGCTGTTGACGATCTTGTCTTCCCATAACGACCATGGAATGAATCGCTAGAGGCGGAATCGGTATATTTTCTACTTCAACGAACATCAACACATACAAGGCAGCATCAGCCAGTCAACATCAGCCTCACCAGGCCGCTGTATCGTGTTACTATCCGGCTTCTTTCATTCTCGATCATCCAGGCATTTCTTATTTATTTTCCTTTATCTCACCATCCCCTCCACCCCATGCAATACGTTTTACCACTAAATTGATGTTTCCTTGTGTTGTTTGTCACTTTGTTATTGTGATGTTATGTTTTATTGTTTTCAACCTTTGTTTTTCTTTCTGGTGGAGAGACGCGAGAACAGGTGAGCAGTGGTGAAGGCTGCAAATTGACGCTGAGAGGAACCGGGTATGGTTACGGGAGAGTGGTTCGAGAAGACGAAAGGCACCGACAGTCTTATCACGACGTTCGACATCCTTATTTAACAACATCACAACTTACAGCCTTTTATCTTCTTTAAGGGTATTGGCTTACTTTGTGTGTACCAGTATCCCTCGAACTCAACTCTATACCTTCTCTCAACAACACTGGTACATGGCGACGGAATATGGCTAGGGTCGCTTCCGGGGTGGTCTCGTTCTGTTGTTGTTACCTTGTGTTCCTGGTGTTTCTCCTAACATGCCTTGTTCTGTTTTGTTATCTGCACATCCCCCCTCCAGCACAGCATTTTATCCTTTCCCCCCTTTTAACACGGAGACAAGTTTCGGGATCATTTCACATTCAATTAGGAAGGCAAGAGTGAGAGTGGCGGAAGATGGGTTTTAAGACTGGCAAGAGGAGAGAACGCGTGAGGATGAGAATATCTATCTGGGGACGAGGAGAAAACCACTGAGCTGCCCGATTGGAGATGACCTCCTTAACTTTGTTTCCTTGTTTTCTTTTCTTGTCACTCTTTATTACCCTTAATATTATATCACCTTAACTGCCCAAATCGAACCAATCCAACGAAAAACTCTTTGCATGCTCATAAATCAGTTACGGAGAGAGGGGGGGGGAGAGAAAGAGGTTATCGAGGAAAGGCGTAAAACAACCGAGGCTTTTGCTAACAAGGTAAACGATAAGACAGCGAGGGACCTGGTCTTGAAACAAGAAGAGGAAGCGGGAAGAGCGGGAGTTCTCCAGCAGTTCGTTTCAAAAAAACGTAGATGCTTCGTCTCTTTTGCCCCGGAATCATAACTCGACTTTGCCACAGGGGAAGCAGAGTGACGAGGAAGATTGATGAAGAACAAGTCGAGAGTCTAGAATCAAGCTGGGGCAAGCGAGCAACCCGGTGCCCGTATATACTATGGCATGTAACTAGCCGTCTATCTGCCTGTCAGGTCGTCTCGGTTCGTCGAAGCGAGCATAGGCTTTCCATGGTAGTGTCGACTACTCCTTACTCTCTGTACTTTACTCCACGGGTGCCTCGAGTTGAAGCTACCAGACGTGCACGAGCGGAAGAATACGAAGGTTTCCCCCCTTATACATAGGTCAACCCAGACCCTGAAAAGTGAGCAGAAGGCCTAGAAGCTCGCCTGGCGTTGATGCTGTAGTATCCCTATTTGATTGCTTTCCCCCTCGAACATATACATCCAGCTTCCCGACTGAGTATGGATGGATAGATCAACTAGAAGTATAAAGTTTACTATCACTCTCTGTACATTCCCAATCTATCAATTGACCTGGAGAGAAAGCAAAAGAGATACTGAGAGAAAAAAAAGCAAATACTGTGGGACAAACGATCGAAATGAACAGATCAGACAGAAGTCTAGGTACGCCATAGCTAGTTACATACATAGTATGCTAGGAGCTAGCTAGCCCATTGCCCATCTGCAGAGGAAATTGGGCAAGGAGCAAAAAGGACGACCAGGGCCGGAGGAGGGCGTTTCTGTCATCGTGGTCGAAACGGGCGCCCTTGGCGGGATGCAAGGATATGTGGCGGCTGCAGCAGAGCAGAGGAAGCCATGGACGGAGCCGTTGAATCCCTTGCTTCGTCCGTATGTATATGTTCTCGATGCTGCATGCCAGGCCGCAGAGGGAGGGTAGTAGAGACGGTGGTGGTTGGTCTGGGTGTGTGATATGGAGTTTTGGGATGGCGCTCTTTTTTTTTTTTACCATGTAAGGTCTCCTCTCATCATTTCACTCGCTGCTGGGGTGTTCGTTCGTCCGATGTTCGTCTTGCTTTTCTTTTCTTTTTCTTTTCTTTTTCCCCCTTCTCAACCTAGCTTGCTGTTGACCAGGACGGGGCAATGGAGAAGGACGGTGGATGGGGGGGCGACGGGGCCGTTAGCTGGTGGTCGCTTGGAGGCCGCTGAGGGCCGGCCTCAGGAAAAGAAAAAGCAGGGACAGGGCAGCGAGAGGGCCACAAAGCAAAAAAAGGGAGAAACAGAACAAGAGACCAGACAAGCCCTCTGAAGGTTGACTCTATCGGGGACTATCTCACACTAGCTACGGATTGTCGTCACCGTAAGCGGCAAAGGTGGCTTGTTCGGACACGAGATTTCATCTTGTTTTTTTTCTTTTCTCCCTTGATGCTTCGTACGGAGAGAGTCTGAAAAAGCAAAGCGCCTGGAGACAAGAAGACACTCGCAGAAGACGACAAGAGGGAGACGACAAGAGGGAGAGGGAGAAGAAAAAAAAGAAACGAGAAGATATCAAAAACCAAACGATCATCCCCTTGGTTCTTCATTCTCTTGAATCCTTGAAAAAAAAGTCCCCCCCCCGTTGCTAATATATTTCCCCACACACCTTTTTTTTTTCTTTCTTTGAATCCACTTCAGGCCGAGCCTTGCATATCAAATAAGTCCTGTATAAATATATATTAGACGTACTCGTTCGGAGCTGTTTCTCTCCTTTTCTGCTTCTTCTGTTGAGCGTCCTTGTCTTGTTGTCCCGTAGTTGAACGATCATGGAATACCCGTACTTCTCGTCCGCCCAGCAGGCGTATCCATATTATAACCAGCAGCCACCTCATGAACCCTCGCAAGATCAGTTTCGATCCATGATGCCTGGCCCTGTATGACTTCCACGTTTTTCTTCTTCGTCTTTGCTTTTTTTTTTTTTATTTCGCTTTCTCTCTCTCGTTGCTGACGGGCAGGCTCAGGACCAGCAGCAGTTTGATCCATCCTTCCAGCAATTCGAGCCCTATCAATTTAGCCAACCTCCTCCTTTGCAAGGCCAGGTTAACGGTATAGCTTCTGCGCATTTTCCGAGACAGTCTATCGAGCCGGCAACAAGTGGCCAGTCGTCGATATCCCCTCTCGGGAGAGAGATCAAGCAGGATTCCGTCGACTCGAATGCCTTCCCACAGGGCATCAACGTTGAGAACGGAGAAGATGGCCACCCCGAACGGGATCCCCGTAGCAGCAGCGAAGAGAAGGACTCCAACATGACCCCTGCTCAGAACCGTAGAAAGGCTCAGAATCGAGCTGCGTATGTCATCTGCCGCCCATTCTTGATGTTGAGATTGCACATAAATAACTCATGACCAATCTTAGTCAACGAGCCTTCCGTGAACGCAAGGAGAGACGAGTCCGTGACCTAGAGCAAGAATTGACAGAATACAAGCAAAACTTCTCCAACCTGCTCGAAGACAACGAGGTGCTGAAGCGCCAGATGGCAAAAGTAGCTACCGAGAACGAGATTCTTCGCGCAACTTCAAAGGCTGCGCACTGCCATGGGTCTCCAGGCCATGATCCCGAGCCCACGACGACCGGACCGATGATATATTCTCCCAAGGACTACAGCAGTGCCGCCAGCACCGCCAGTGGGGGCAGTGGCCTGTCGTCGGAACGAGAGAAACACAGCAAGCCCATTCACCCCGTCAGAGTGTGCGAAGTCACCGGCGAGAAGCTGCTGGATGCATCTGCGACCTGGGATCTGATAGTAAGCCACCTGTCGGATTCGGGTGTCAAGCTGGATGTGCAGGATATATATGATCGATTAAAGGGGCACGCTCAGTGCGATGGCACTGGTCCGGTCATTGGAGAGTCGCAGGTTATCAAGGCAATACAAGATAGTATTGCAGCTGGCAGTGATGAGCTGATCTAGTCGTGGTAATGAATAATTCTGTCTGCTCTGCTTCTTCTTCTTCTTCTTCACTGCTTTTGTTTGTCGGTTGGCTGGACCTATGGGTGTTGCGGGACATTGGACATTATCATCACACATCTTCTTAGATATCCCCATTTCTTCTTCTTCTTTTTCCTCATCCTCCTTATTCTTAATATCTACTTGCGCTTCTACTTTTACTTGTTGACTTCATGGCGGGTAAAACACGTTCTATCTCTGTATGTACTGGTTTTTTGCTTCCGTTCAAGGACTTTCCCGGTTGACTCTGCTCTCGTCAATTGCCACCTCTATCTTCTCCAATTAAACATGCAATGCCATCGGGGCTATTTCTTCCCGTCAGGGTTCTCCGCAGGACCCCTGAATACCAAATACCCTGTAATTTAGGCTTAGAGCCCGGCGGGATGTTACCATTGCATCCGCTGGTCTCCCCTCAGCCACGATGTCGACATACCCAGGAAGGCAAATGTAGATACAGTTGGACTATCAACGGTCAATTTCCAATAGTTGAAACAAGGATGAGACGAGAATGCTGACTTTCCATGTGATGCGATCGGATGCACGCTATGACTTCGATGACAAGGGAGGCCGAGAGTATATGTACAATAACGTAGTCATATACCCGCTCATTATGCATGGTTATACATAGTATATACTGCCCTTTTAACCATAGACCCGTCGATTTAAGGGACCACACCCTTGTCCGTCTCTCAATCTTTTTACCTAACTAGAATCGTATATTACAATCATACACAAACAAGCCAAGAGAGAAAGAGAGGGGTGAGAAGAGGATTTAAAAAGACAAAAAGAGTCTTCCAATATCAATCCCAGTCGTCGTAATCATCATCGGCTCTCTCTACCGGCTTCGGCGTACTAGACGTCTGCTTCAGCCGGCTATCGTGCTCATCCAATGCGCCCAGCTCGACAAGCACTTTTTCCACATCCTCGGCACGGGTCCGTGCTCCGTTCAGATCGCGCAGTGTGATAATCTGCTTCTTAATATCGCCGTCCTTGTAGACGAGTATCGTGGGTGTGTTCCTCTCGGGGTAGCCCTCGATACATAGGTCAGCGCGCATCTCACAGAATTTGATATCCCCGTACTTAGCGGCCAGTTGTCGCCATATGTCGGTAAGTATGCGGGATTCTATGTTGTTGCCCAATGAAGAGGTCAGGTGTACTAGCACGTAGTATTTGGAAGATGCTTCGGTGACGTCTCTAGAGTAATCTGGCTTTTGGAGCGGATAGACTTGGTTGTGAATGCTGGTCTGTTGTATCCGCGAAAGTTCCTGGAAACGCTTTTGCCTGTCCATAACACCGGTGAGTAAACTGTAATTAATCCATTTGTTGGGATTAGAAGCAAGAGAAGCCTTTTCCTACTTACCGGTATTGCTCTAGAAATTCCTCGTCTTCTTCATCCTCGAGGGCATCTAGCTCATCCAATGTCTTATCCTCAAGCCGATTCTCGTGCTCGAGCTGGCGGGCTTTTTCAATGGCTTCTTGTATGATGGGTGTAGGAGACGGAGGCTTCTCGGGTATGATTCCATGTTTCCGAAGAATATCGTTCCTGGGCTGCTGTTAGCACGATGCTCATCATCACTAGACTGTTGGTGCGGGACGGTAAAAATTTGCTGATCTATAGAAGTGAACCGTGCTAGCGTACCATTCTGTGTCCGCGTTTGGATTATCAATGGGCACATTCACGGGAATATCCATTTTGATGTATGATATATTATATGAAAGAAAAGAGAAAAACACACGTCTTGAAGCTGTTCTCTTTAACTTGTCTTTTGCTGCCTGAATTTGCTTATCGCGAAGCCAGCGATAAGTGACATCAGAATGCTGGTGCCTGTTACCGTATATAGAATGTTTGTTTTGTTTGTCTCAGTTACCCCCCCTAGCAAAAATCTCCTTTTCACTTGGTTATAGATGTAAGGTGGCAAGCAAATAGTCTTGTAGACGATAGCAGAGCCATTGACTGGGTATCTTATCTCACAGGGGTATCCATCGGATATAGGTCTGGCAGCCTTTCAATCACTATCGATTTTTTGCAATTAATGATACTACTCTGCCAATTATTAGTACATGTGATGATAGGATACTTTTTCCCGCCACTCGGGAAAATGCGATATCTATTGAACTGCTGTAACTCTCCAACTTCACCTAAGGCGATTCTCATTATGTCAAATATCGATGTAAATACACCTTCGCCTCCTGTCGAGGGCTGCATGTCACGTGAAATAAAAATGCCACGGGATCCAGATATAGCGTAAAGTATTTGTTTGAATGACATAAACATTGGTCTTGTGCCAAGACATTTTTGGTGTGCTCAAATATAAGTTTAACGACATCATGTGATATAAAGCTGAGTCAGCAGATGAACATCCAACGCCGCGAAATCGAACCAGGAAAGGGAAATTGTTAGTGCTGTGGACACCTTGGTCTCGAGTATATCGTCTTGTCCACGAAGACGCCTGTCGACCGCTTGCTCGACCTCCTCGCACCCTGCGATCAATATATCAGCAATATGAGCTACATGAAGAAGGACGAGGACGCAGACCAGATGATGATGAAGTTGGATAGGACATCGGTTTTTCAGGATGGTGCGTCTGTTCTGCTATATTGCCCTATTGGGGGGTGTTGATATAAAAATATCCCCCCGTCCCTGTTGTTCTGGCAATGGACTGGCTAATCCCTTGCATGAACAGCCCGGTTATTCAATTCCTCCCCGATATCACCGCGAAGATGCCGGACCCTGTTGACAAAGCTCGCCGTTTTAATGTTCACTGGCGAGAGATTCCCCACGGACGAAGCTACCACGCTCTTCTTTGGCATCTCAAAGCTCTTTCAGAATAAGGACCCTTCTTTGCGACAGATGGTATATCTTATCTTGAAGGAGCTCTCTAATACCGCCCAAGATGTCATTATGTCGACATCCATAATTATGAAGGATACCTCTGTTGGCAGCGATGTCCTCTACCGAGCAAACGCTATCAGGGCTCTGTGCCGTATAATAGACGTATGTCAATCACATATCTAGACCCAGAGTTTGATTCCATTTCTATAATGATATGCTTATCCTCCTTTTTTGTTTACTTTTAGGCCACGACTGTTCAGGGTATCGAGCGACTGATTAAAACCGCCATTGTGGATAAAACACCTTCGGTTTCCTCTGCCGCCTTAGTGTCTGCTTATCACCTTCTCCCAATCGCAAAAGATATTGTCCGAAGATGGCAGAGCGAAACCCAAGAAGCTGCTTCGTCCGGAAAGCAGTCCGGTGGCCTTCTCAGCTTTACTTCTTCAGCACAGCGCCATACCATGGCACAAACCAGTTATATGACCCAATATCATGCCATTGGCCTCCTTTGCCAGATGAGAGCCCATGACAAGATGGCAATGGTGAAAATGGTTCAGCAGTACGGCTCTGGCGTTGTCAAGAGCCCCCCTGCAATAGTTCTCCTGGTAAGGCTTGCAGCAAAATTGGCCGATGAGGACCAAAGTCTACGGAAACCTATGATGCAGATGCTCGAAAGCTGGCTGAGAGGGAAACATGAAATGGTCATCTTCGAAGCAGCCAAGGCAATTAGTGAGATGAAGGATGTCACAGATGCCGAAGCTGCCCAGGCCGTCAATGTCTTGCAACTCTACTTGTCCTCCCCCCGAACTACCAGCAAATTCGCCGCCATCCGCCTATTACACACCTTTGCATCATTTAAGCCACATGTTGTCAACGCCTGCAATCAAGACATCGAATCCTTGATTTCCAACTCCAACAGATCGATTGCTACATTCGCCATAACAACCCTTCTTAAGACCGGAAATGAAGCTAGTGTTGATCGTCTTATGGGCCAGATCTCTGGTTTCATGTCAGATATTACAGATGAGTTCAAGATCACAATTGTGGAGGCAATCCGGACATTGTGTCTCAAGTTTCCAAGCAAGCAAGCCGGCATGCTTTCATTTATCAGCGGAATCCTTAGGGATGAAGGCGGCTACGAGTTTAAGAAAAGTGTTGTTGAGAGCATGTTTGATCTCATTAAATTTGTTCCGGGAAGTAAAGAAGAAGGTAAGCATATAAACTACTTTGTATACGTATATTTTATTTTTGTGCACCTATCCCACTAACATCCTTACAGCCCTTTCTCACCTCTGCGAATTTATTGAAGACTGTGAATTTACCAAACTGGCCGTCAGGATATTACATCTTCTTGGTGTAGAAGGTCCAAAGACCCCCAGTCCTACTAAGTATATCCGTTATATTTATAACCGGGTGGTCCTTGAGAATTCGACTGTCAGAGCAGCCGCAGTCACTGCCTTAGCCAAGTTCGGAGTCGGCCAGAAAGACCCAGAATTGCGACGAAGTGTTGTTGTACTCCTCAAACGATGCTTGGATGACACTGATGATGAAGTTCGTGATCGTGCTGCCCTCAATCTCAGATTAATTGATGACAGCGAAATTGCAGAGCGATTCATTACCAATGGTATGTCCTCGCCATCTCATACTTAACATATGCGCCTTGAATACTGACTTGTTCACCGTAGATACAATGTACTCTTTATCCACATTTGAACACCAGCTTGTCATGTATGTCACTGCAACCGACAAGGAAACATTTGCTACTGCTTTTGATTTGTCAAAGATCCCGGTCGTGTCCCAAGAGCAAGCTCTGGCCGAAGAGAGAACTAAGAAACTTACATCTGCCACACCAACACTCAAAGCTCCAACCGATGGCCCCTCGAAAGCAAAACAAAACGGAGCTGCCGACGGAGCTGCTGCAGCCCAAGCAACAACCCAGAAGTTTGCCGAGGAGCTTTCACAAATTCCCGAACTCAAAGAATATGGAACGCTTCTCAAGTCCTCGTCGCCTGTTGAACTTACCGAGCGTGAGACCGAATATGTTGTTACTGCAATAAAACACATCTTCAAGGACCATATCGTTGTGCAGTATGATATCAAGAACACCCTTCCTGATACTGTACTGGAAGACGTATCTGTTGTTGCAACTCCATCGGAAGAGGATGAAGCATTGGAAGAGGACTTCATTGTACCTAGTCCAAAGCTGGTACCAAACGAGCCTGGACTAGTGTACGTTGCCTTCAAGAAAGCTGGCGGTGAACACAATTATCCCATCACCTCGTTCACAAACGTTTTGAAATTTACTAGCAAGGAGATCGATCCGACCACTGGCGAGCCGGAAGACACTGGCTATGAAGACGAATACCAAGTGGAGGATCTTGAGCTCACAGGCAGTGACTATGTTATTCCAGCCTTTGCGGGTAATTTTGATCACCTCTGGGAGCAGACTGGTGCCAATGGCGAAGAGGCTAGTGAAACACTACAGCTATCTAATATGAAGGGTATATCAGGTAAGTGTTTCCTATTAAAGTTTTATATATGTGTGTTTATAATACATTGATGCCGTCAAATACTAACTGGTACCCAATTTCAGATGCTACCGAGCAACTCATTTCTACGCTCTCTTTACAACCTTTGGAAGGCACCGATGTTGTTCTCAACAATTCCACACATTCTCTCAAGCTATATGGCAAGACCGTATCCGGAGGCAGAGTGACGGGCCTTGTACGGTTGGCATATTCGGCAAAGTCTGGCGTCACCACCAAGATAACCGTCCGCGCAGAAGAAGAGGGTGTCGCTGCCGCAATCATAACCTCTGTGGCGTGACCTGCTAGGCAATAAATATAGCGGCCTCTTTTTCTATATCCTTGTCTTATTCACGTTGGTGTTTAGATGGGTAATGACCTGTTTGGAATTTCCTTTCTCTTCCTGTTTGCTTTATCAAAAAGATGACCCAAGCGGTTTTCGATTCTTGTCGCTTATAATATGACCAACCATCAGTCCATCAATAACGTTCTCCCGTTCCTTGAATTCAACGAATATAATTTTTCAATACCCTTCTTTTGGTTTTTAATTTCCATTAGGCATTTCTCAAGGCAGCATTCCTAATTTTGTGTAGACGTTGTATATCGATTTGTGTCCCGTATCTACTCAGCGAAGAATTAATCCCTCAGCCCGAGTACCATTGCAAAGGTGTTGTTAGATCCGCAATCGTCCGTGGCACCTAGCTAGAAATAGTAAACTCCGGTTTGGATTCTGCCATTTTCAAGCTTCTCTTTATCATAGTACCCTGATTTCCTGGCGTTGTCCATCAGAACTTTATCCATTTCAAGTTCAAACCATTCAGAAACGTAATTTATACAGGATGCAGAGATGCCCAATAACCGAACTCGAGGGAACGCAACTGAAAATATCGTCTGGAGATCCCTCACTAACTGAACTCGCAGCTTGTGCTCGAGTGGCAGAGGACTTATTTCTAGTATCTCCAAGGCTGCTGGCTTGGGAGACGTGGAAATGATCCTCTTGTAGAAAACAGGATCACACCCGCAGCCTTGCAGGCTTAAAAACTTGAGCTTCTCCATCTGAGAACAAAGTGGGGCGAGGAAAGAGATTTCGTCGGTTTGGCGGTTGCTTACTATCCTCACACGCTGTAGTCTATGGCGGGCGCTACCGTTGACGAGTGTCTGTAGTATATAGTTGAACGGATAATGGGTGGATTCTGTTAGAGTCACGGCGGTGACTGTTTCCGGCCAGATGAAATTCCCCAGAATAATGGAGTCATGTACTCTCCACAGCTGTAGTCTTTTCAATTTTGGGGGCCACTGATACATGGGAGGTGACCTTTCGTTCTGAGGTTGGTTTACTTTCGGCAATCCCTTGTTGGACATTTCTGGGGGGAATCGTAAGGTCTCTAGATTCCGAAGATGGCGCACAGCATGTGGTATACTCAGAAAAGGGACTATCGTCATCAGAACGGATAGATCAACTATTCTCAAGTTTAAGCATTTGCTCATGGGAGTTAAACTAATAGCCCTACTTCAATAATAAGTAGCTGCTCTTGAGTATGGTCCTAGAAGAAAGAAATACATAGAGAGTTGTAAGGAAAATATCTCGTTACATAGAAAATAGGAGGTCTTATTGCTCCGGCCAATAATATAGATAAACGGCCGTGTTTCCGGGAGGGTATATAATTCTTTGGGTGTTACTCACGAAAATGTAGACGCAGGTGCAACAAAGACCTCGAGCCCTTCTTTACAAGCCCGCAGTAGTCTTGCAGTAACACTCTTGCTACCGCTATGTGCAAGGCCTCCAAGGTCAAGATGCTTAACAAAGCTCCCTAGAGGCTCTTGTATATTATGCCTGGCTTTGCCACGGACATCTAATGTTCCAGCAAAGGAGTCGTAGTTTCTCGCAGAGATGACTGGCTTTGCATAAAGGAACGGAATGGCAGCGGCATACCATTGCTGGCAGACCAAGCAGCATGAGAATAATGTAGACTGCCAGTTTTCGTTCACTGCATCCTCATCTGAGGCGAAGGAAAGGATGGTGATGACAATTTCTGTAGGGAGGAACGCCCCCTTGGTCTGAGGCGCCTGAGCCATCATGGCGAAGATGGCTTTATTGAATGCTGATTAATATCTAGCCATGTCTGAGGCAAGAAACATAGACAAATCCAGAAAGGCAGCGGTCGAAGAGAGCCGCATTGCTTATAACTCCTAAGGCTGACTTCGGGACTTATAATTTTTTTTGTCTTTGAAAAAAAAAAAAAAAGGTAAACCGAAAATCGATCGTCATAGAAAGTTTCGGTAAGGCCCAGATCACGGGGATGGACCTTGAAGAACCTCAACGCTGCAACATCTGTCAGATATTGCAACCCTGGTTATGTTGCAGGTGAATAGCGGTGGTTAATGGATACTAGACGTACCTCTGTCGTTCGTTTATAAGAGTCACGATGCAATTGAGACACGTTCCTTTCTCGGCGGGTATATTTTCGCTTTCCAAACCGCAGCTTGTCACTCGTTCATTCGCAACGCCATACTGTCGACGGCGTTTTAGAACGGCGACCACGGTTCCTGGGGGCGCTCCTGACTTTGCCTTTGCTTTTGAGTGAGATACCTTCTAGTCTATATACGCTGCTGGTGAAATTAAAGCCCTAATACAGTCTCTTAGCATAGATGGCGTCCTCCTTCGAGCTTCCAGACCTCTCCCAGGGGCTTCACAAACGTTATCTCTCCTCCAGAAACAACGCATTCCTTTCATTCTGCTCACAAATGGAGGGGGTATGTCGGAGAATGAAAGGGTATCTCAGCTGAGTGATAGGCTAGGCGTGCCGCTCGGCCCTGAGCTGATCATCCAAAGCCACACACCATATACAGAACTCGTGAGAGGTAAAGAGGATCAAGAGCCGCTTGAGAATAAGACGGTCTTAGTAGTCGGTGGAGCTGGCGATAAATGTCGGGATGTTGCGAAGCAGTATGATTATTATGGCATCTATACCTCTGGGTACACCTTTATACTAACTGCGTGCATAGGTACGGGTTTAAATCCGTTCTAACTCCTGGTGACATATTTATGGCTCATCCATCCATTTGGCCCTTCTCATCGGCCTTTAAGAATTACTATGAAGGAATTACACAGCGTTTTACCAAATTGATAGATCCAATAGACCCTTCCAAGTGCCTAAAGATCGATGCAATCCTAGTCTTCAATGATCCAAGAGATTGGGCCCTTGATATCCAGATCATTATTGATCTCCTACTCTCGCGAGACGGTATTGTTGGGACAATATCAGACAAGAATAACAGAGATGACCTTCCAAACCGTGGTTACCAACAGGATGGCCAACCGCCACTCTATTTTTCTAACCCTGATCTACTCTGGGCAGCTGGCTACCATCAACCACGCCTCGGCCAAGGGGGTTTTTGCGCAGCCCTTGAAGGTGTCTGGGCCGCAATGACGGGTGGACCCGCGTCAGGGGTGGAATTACTGAAAACCATGATCGGGAAACCACATACGTTAACTTACGATTTTGCTGAGCAGAGGTTGGTAGAGCTGAGAAACAATCGTTTTCAAACGCCTAATCTAGCTTCCCTGAAGACAGTTTATATGATTGGCGACAACCCCGAATCTGATATCAGAGGCGCTCATTCCTATTCCAGCTCTGCAGGTATAAACTGGGTTCCTGTGCTAGTGAAGAGTGGGGTGTACAGTGGTGGAACACCCACATGGACCCCTAAAACCATAGTAGATGGAGTTGTTGAAGCTGTCAATTGGTCTCTAGGCCAGTCGAACTGGAAATCATCATCCAGCTAAGTAGCCCCGAAGAGATCATGAATCTCACATTTTTTTGATTGATAGAGGTATAGAGCGCAAGATGACCTAGATATCTGTTTGATATATCAATATTATGTAGAACATTGTGGTGACCGATCCTATGCCTATTACACGAGGCAGAACTTTCACCGCTATGAAACTTGAAAAAAAAAAAACACTGCTAACTACTCCGCAAGACCTTCTCGGAGATTACGCAGTTTGCCCTAAGGATAATGAAGCTTAATCCTTAAAGTCTGAGCTTAGTATAGTCAAAGAACGTCCTATATTTACCCTGTCGTCCTTGTGTCTAGTACATACGAACATAGGAAGTGGAAAACAGAGCTTCCCGTCCGCTCAGCTGTACTTAAGCCACTTGCCGGTCGGTTAGTAGTTGGGTGGGTGACCACCAGCGAATCCCGACTTTCGTATGTTTTTATATTTTTTGCTCTCCCACTCCGTCTCCAATGAGGCGTTAAGTCGCCTCCAGAATATATTTGTAGCTGAATTATCCTACACAGTCGAACAGAGGACATATTTTATTTTCATACATTGTATGTTTAAGCGTGTCGCGGCTAGCGCTAACTTGCAGCTGATTAAGCCACGATCAAGCTTTACATTGTATAACTGATAGCTAGAGATTTTGACCAATAGAAAGTTTTAAATACATATATTACGGTATTATAGGCACAAAGCCAATATAGGGCTTGAAGTCTTGGCGGGTAGAATGACTCATCACGTGCCTTTCTTTTTTAACACCGCGGGGTGACCTTGAAGACGCATTTTCATGCGACTGAAGACGATTGTAACTCCAGTCTCTTTGCATTGCTTTAATCTTTGGTCTCTCCTAGAAGATAGAGGCTCTTCGGATATCCGTCGAACTTTGATTCCCTGCTACGCACCGTATCCGAGCGATGGACAGGCCTACCGAATCTACATTACCCCTCCACTCTAAGGAGGAAGAAAAACAGCCAGATGCAGGGAAGCCTGAGCAGGCAGAGGGAGAGGCAGCGGGGCCTAGCAAGAATGCTCTGAAAAAGGCCGCAAAGGAGAAAGCAAAGGCGGAAAAGGCTGCTCAACGTGCGGCGCAGCAGCAAGCCGCTGCCCAGGCCACCCAAGCGGAAGACACGGCGAAGCACTTATACGGTAAAATGCCAGATTCTGCAGAAGTAGAAGATGTCATGAACCTCATGAAGTTATCGGATGACCATTATGACAAGGAGGTCACCATTATTGCGCGTGTAGACAATGCTCGCGTGCAGAGCGCCAAACTTGCATTCCTCATGCTCCGACAGCAAGGGAAGAAGATACAGGCCGTTATAAGCCTCAAGGAGCCATTGTCCAGACAGATGATCAAGTGGACTGGCCAATTGAATGTCAATTCAATCGTTCAAGTATCCGGAATTGTCAAGAAACCAGAAATCCCTGTTCACTCCGCCTCGCTACCAAACATGGAACTCCATATCACCAAAGTATACATGATATCTGAGGCAATTCCAATGCTTCCTATGCAAGTCAAGGATGCAGAGAGACCCCCACCAGAATCTACCGAAGAAGGGCTAGTCGATACCGATGGAACTCTCTGTCAGTTTGAAACTCGTCTTGATAACCGAATTCTTGACCTTCAAACGGAAACAAGTCAGGCCATTATGGCAATTTCAAGCGGTGTAGCACAGCTATTCTCAGAGTATATGTTGAAAAGCGGCTCAAGATGGATATTCACCTCTAAAATCACAGGAGCAGCCACCGAGGGAGGCAGTGGTGTTTTCGAGATTTCCTACTTCAAACGAAAGGCATACCTGTCCCAAAGCCCTCAATTGGGAAAGCAGATGTGTATTGCTGGTGACATGATGAGCGTATTCGAGATCGGACCTGTATTCAGGGCTGAAGATAGTAACACCCATCGTCATTTGACTGAAGTAAGACGAATTTTTGACTTCCTTTCTGTTAACTCAAGCTAACAAGTTAATTAGTTCATTGGTCTCGATTTTGAAAGGACTTTCCAGAAACATTACCATGAAGTTTTGGATTTCGCTGAAAATCTACTTGTTTTCATCCTGTCCGAGTTAAAAATTCGTTTCAAGGACGAGATTGCTGTTGTTCAAAAGTCTTATCCCAAGGCCGGGGAATTCAAACTGCCAAAGGATGGGAAAGCCCTAAGGCTGAAGTATATGGAGGCTTTGGGTTTCCTAAAAGAGGCTGGCGTGGACGTCTCTGAACAGGAGAGGTTCGAGAATGACTTTACCACTGCCATGGAGAAGCAGCTTGGAAGAATTATCCGAGAGAAGTACGATACCGACTTCTATGTTGTCGACAAGTTTCCAAGTGCTGTTCGTCCTTTCTATACAAAATCGTGCCCGGATGACCCCACCTTCTCGAACTCTTATGACTTTTTCATGAGAGGCGAGGAGATCATGTCGGGAGCACAACGAATCAATGACGCCAAGGAGTTGGAAGAAGCTATGGTGGCAAGAGGAGTCGAGCCCAACCAGGAAGGATTTGAGGATTATATCAACGCATTCAGACAAGGCTGTTCTCCTCACGCTGGCGGTGGATTGGGATTGAACCGTATTGTCCAATTTTTCTTAGGTCTGCCCAACATTCGATTGGCGACCTTGTTCCCCCGAGATCCCCAGAGATTGCGACCTTAGAAGTAGAATAGATCTGGCTATTGTACTCACGGGTATTCTGTTTATTATAAAAATGAAATAGATAAAAATCAAGAAATATGAAGACCACTTCAAGATTATATACTAGTTAAAAGATATATAACGTTTTAACTAAGTTTATGGAGCTAACTAGTTAGAAACTCCAAGAATCAAAACTAATATCAATTATCTCATCGAACATCGTCCTTCAAACAAACAACTACCAGAAACTCATCATGAACTAAACAAGGATAATGGTGAGTTGGATGAGACCAAGGTACTACCTGAGACATGGCTGAGAAACACAAACTATCTCCTTCAGATGGTTCACCGTCTACGAAACGTATACGACAAGCTATCGCTATAGAGGACGAGGATATCGAAGAGCCGTCATCTTCAAGGCTGCAATATCAACAACCACGCAGTGATCCTGTGTTCGGTCAAAGACATGCCTTCCCAGGCCTAGACGACGGGCCACAAGGTGGAGAGCTTTTCTACGGCCCAGCAGATGATGGCATCGAGTATTTGCGGATGGTCAGGTTAGTCCGATTTTCCCTTAATCCTCATATTTTTTTACCTCTATCTCTGCGACTTCATTTCCATTAATTTTGCCTAAAGCTCCATATACGCTCCTTATTCCCTTTTTATACTTATGGAGAACGGTAAAGGTGAGAGTGCTGATTTTTAATATTGGCGGCTCTGCTTTTAACGCCATGTGCCTGATGTTTTTAGATCCGAAGCCAGAAATCTACCCGTTTTCTTTGTCGCGAAGGAGAAACTAGACTCTCGGATAGGTACGAATGATAGGCCTACAAATGAAGACGAGGCTTCCCTTGAAAAGACACAAGGGATGGAGCAAAAATGGGTCTATTCGGACGGCGTGTGTGCGGCTGTATCAAATACAGCCTGTGACAACTCTGTGCAAGCTGGAGATCAGGAAACCGAAGATCCACAGGAGCAGTATTACAACCTCCTCCGACATCGATTCCTTCTCCTACGTTCTACCTTGAAATGCGTTCCTCCAGCCAAACTCATCGCAGCTTTAGATTCGTCTCATCCGATTTCTTTGCCGGCCGATAATCCGCGAGCGCGCTCAGAATGGACAACACTCGTGAAGAGTGTCGAGCCTCAAATGGTACAACTAGCTTGTATGGATCTCGATAGTGTTCTACGGGTTTTAAGGATTGTTACCAGGTCGTTGTCTGAAGCAGCAAAAAGCCTAAACTGTACGTGGACATCAAGAATTGCTGCATGGGCGTGGGGCCTTCTCGGACGGTGTAGGGATGTTGGAGAGATGAGCAGTGAAGAGGTTGGGGAGTTGAGGGACTTGGGAAAGCGAGCTGCAAAAATCCTTGTTAAAATCCGTGAAAGGGGATCACAAGCTACTCCTTCGATTGGCGTGGAGGGTAGTCCCAAGGCTGATACGCAAAGCTCTGACTGGGATGATGGACATGAAGCAGAAGAGACGCAGGAGGCAGCTGAGGGGTACAATGCTGCCCAAGGAGAAGAGGATGGTTTTGCAAGAGATGAAGCTATAGGTGTGCTGGTCAGCGGTGATGGCGAAAGAGGAGCACTGGAGCTTGCAAAGAAGCGGCTTCAAGGAATGCTAGACAGCAACCATACCGAATATTCCTATCCAGAGCATAACGATGCCCTAGCTTCCCATGAAACTAACAAGGATAAGGTGCAACAGCTGCAGGAAATTGAAAGAAAACATGACGCCCGCGCCATGCTGGACATGATTTTAACTGTTGTTGGAGAATTTTATGGACAGAGGGATCTTCTCGAATTCCGTGATATATGGGAAGAGGACGAATAGTGATGATAGCTTTGATATCTAACGGATACAACAGGCTCAGCCGTTGACTGCCTTATGATATAAACAACTCAAACATCGACTCTGACGAAGTATCTTGGGACAAGTATTAAGCTAAGAAGCATAGATATGTTAAACACTGCCGTGTGATCGTATCATTTCCAAAGTTTCTTCTTCTTTTCTTATTTCTATCAAAATCTTCCAAAGTTATATCAAAGCCTCGCCCCTGTCGCTCATTGTATCACGTGAACCGGACGTCATCAGCGCTTGTTTTGATATTTAAACGGCGGATTTTATCCAAAGGAAAAAAAAGAGCTTCAACTTTGTTCAACTGCTTCGGATGGTCAACCCGCAATATTCAGCCCTTTATCCATAACCAGAACTGTTTTACCATGGCTTCGAGCGCGGAGATATCTATTCCTTCGACAACTGTCTCCTCCACTCCAAATGTTTACACCATATACAATATTTCAATCCGACTACCTCTCCGATCTCTGACAGTCGAAAAACGGTATTCAGATTTCCGAAAATTCCATGACCAGCTTGTAAGCCAGGTAGAGAAGCCTCCTCCGGCGCCGTTGCCTAAGAAATCCTGGTTCTCCGGGACGACGTCGAATGCAAAGTTCCTAGAGGAGCGCCGCAAGGGTTTAGAGGAATACATACAAGCTATCAACAGTTCAGAAGACCCCAGGTGGCGTAACTCCACAGCATGGCGTACATTTTTAAATCTGCCTCCCAATAACGCTTCCACAAGGGCTTTCAACTTGCACTCGGCTATTACTGGGCCTGGAGCTGGAGCCCCGATTACAGACCCCACGACTTGGCTGGACTGTCATCGAGACGTCAAGTCACATCTACATGATGCAAGGCTACACCTGACTCGCCGAGATCAAGCTTCAACTCCCCAGAAACAGCATGAATGTTCTGCATCAGCCAAAAGTAGTCTCGTGAGAACTGGCACTTTATTGGGAGCCTTGGAAGAAGGGCTGAAAAATATATCAGGAAATTCTTCCTGGACCGGCTCAAGACTTGGGGAAGGAGAACTTCGACGGCGCAAAGATCTGCTCACTAGCGCTAGAAAGGAGAAAGACGCTTTGGAAGACCTGCTGAATTCCATGGCAGCCAAGAATAAGTCAGACTCTGCCGCGGCTTCTATACAAGATAAACAGGCTCTTTTAGGCATAGACGCAGCTACTGGGAATAAGAAACCTGCGATTAAGGGTGGCCGTATTCTAGGGAAAGAGACTAATCGCACGAGGGAGCTGGATAATGAGGGCGTCCTGCAACTACAGAGACAGATCATAAAAGATCAAGATTCTGGAGTTGATGAAATCAGAAAGATCATTGCACGGCAAAAAGACCTTGGCATCGCTATCAATAATGAGCTTGAGCTCCAACTCGAACTCCTGAATGTAGTTGATGAAGATGCCGGAAAGTTAGTATTGCCCATGTCTAGCACACCTCTCCTCTGTGTATAAAAATCACATTTACCGGGTGCTAACTGACTTCTTCTTAGACTCAATAGCAAAATTGACGTTGCTCGAAAGAGAGCAAAGAAAATATCCTAAGTACATGCTGATATCTATCACTCTTAGTTGTTTCCGTGTTTATATTATGCGTCGTGTGTTATATACCCTTCTTACTTCATGCTTTGAGTGAAACGATCGCTTTTGTCGCGTTTAGTTGGCTTTGGTTTGCAAGCGTTTTGCATAGGATAAGATGAAGCTATTGACATCATTTGACTTGACCATGCTCATATCTAAACAGCTAGAAATCTCAGTACACCTAAGCACTGTATTTAGATAAGCAAGCTACCTTGGTAATTACGTTGATTTTGCCGACATAAACTAAAAAGTTATGTTAGTTATCAACGGAGCTCATATATGAATGGGAACGTACCTCTTTTGCTTCTTGCTCTGTAACCTTTGATATTTCCACCAGCTTGTTGTCAACCAGCCCAATTTTATTCTTTCGAATAAGCCACCAGAGCTCTCTCCTGTCCTCGCCTAGTTTATCGCCCAGTAATTTCTGTTTTAGCCTCCGAATGAAATCGTTATACAAGTCGGGTTCTTCGAAAGAAATTAGTTCGTCTCTCATGGTTCCCATGTATTCGATAGCTCTGTCATAACTGGAATCACCCAGGCTATGCTTGATTTGGTCTTCAATTATGGTACACATCTGTTTCACTGAGTCCTTGATTGTATTGATGTCTTCAGTGTTTGCGAGTGCTTGTTTGAATTCGGGAATTGCATTCTCAGGTGAAATTCGCTGACGCTTTTCGCCTTGTAAAAGGGCTTCCACGTCAAGCCCGGAAAGAGGCTTATCAACGTCCCTATTTCGTTTGCGGCCTTTCGCCTTTGGTGGCACTGTAATAATCGTCAGTGGTAAGAGAAATATGACAGAAATTGAAGCGGATTGAGGTTTCATGTCACTCCTGGCTTCACTCTGGAAGTAATACGGGTATTATAGCTCACCTTTCTTGATATCAGATACTTTGATTAATTGTTCCAATGCCGGCCTGCTTTGTTCCCGCAGTGTTTCGGGTTGACGGGACAACTTCTGAAGTATTTCCGGAACAGGAGGAAGTGGCTTTGTAGGGTGGATAGCACGCCACCGAATGGCCTGGTCAATTCTGTGCAGAAGAGGAGAGTAACAATCTTCAAGGGCAAACGATTCCACTAGCTCACTATTCCAACGTAAGTAAGATACCTCATTTCTGTAATTAATTTCGTATTTTCTTACCCTCCTTCACCAGGTTCCACTAGTTCCATGCTTGCCACATATTGTTCCATGGCTGACACGAGGTCTTCGTTAGGCAAATTTCGATGCTCTTTAACAGCCTTTCCAGACACAGTGGTAACCCTATCAAGGGGTGGGAAACGGTAACAGCGACAGTCTTCCGCAAAGGGTAATTGAACCTCAAGCAAGCATTCATAGTCTGGTTCAATTGAAGGGGCTAGGAGAATAAGAGCCGGGCCTTTGCCATCTTTGACGACTAGTCGACCAACAGCATAGCTCTCAAGCTCAAAAAGTGCATGAATGACGGAAGAAAGAGCCATAATAGCTTTATTGTTAGTTCTCTGGGCGATAATGACGTTAGATGTCGACATAATCATGTAACGATCATACTATTATTATCTGGTCAGCCACTGCAACTATACTTCTCCGGATATACTTGGGAACATACATACATTTTGAGTAGGTATAAATCCGATTATTTCCAAGGCGGCCTTCGTCTCAATCTTCGTTATATTCTCGTCTGATTCGCTGATATGCACGGCAGTTCTGCCATACTCGTACCCCTTTGCAAGCTCGTCTCGTTCTACATCTCGCTTGCCGCCTACTACACTATCATCAGCAACCTGGTAAGATCGTGCGTTTCTGACACTTGTCAATCCGATGGTATTGCTATTTTCGCCCTCGGCATTCACATTCTTCAATGTTACTGATGGCTTTCCGCTTTCTTGACCTTCCGGAGGTGCACCGGACAACACAAAAGAACTAGCAGCCGGCGGCCGGGCTGCGTAAGTCCGATAGTACCTCTCCACCTGGATGGTCAGCGCAGAGTCGTACTTTTCCGGATCCCCGAGCCGGAAATCTCCCTTGAAACTAGGGATGCCTCGCACAATTTTGACGCGAGGAGTATCAAGTTCGGATATTGCTTGTTCCAAGGTCCCATAGATACCATCGCAAACATCACATAATTTTTGTAGAGAAGATTCATTCTCAGCCTACAGCCATCAGTATAGAAAAATAGAGAAGTAAATTGTAAATAACTTACTTTAACTGCATCCTTATCTTCCTCCTTGAAACCATATTCAGGGTCATCAAAATCCACTCCGCTAGGCTATATTAGATATAGCGAGCAGTAGACTCCGCAAATGGGCTAACTCACAGAACAACAAGTTCAATTCCTTCCTCATTTATCTTGCTTGCAATACCTTCCATGCCATCAGGATCCATGGCCCCCTTTCCGTTAGTAACAAGGACAATTTTTCTTTTGTACTTCAGCTTCTTGCAGTACTTGACGATCAGGTCAATCGCTAATATTATTGAGGAAATTGCTAAAGCATTGCTTGAGTTAAACGACGTATATATGATAAGAGGGTAGAATCTATACATCACATACCATCTCCTTTGTCAGTGCTGCTTGCCTTAATCAGGCTCCGCAACTCTCTAAGGTCCGGCATCAGCGCTCTATGTAGATTTGTTAGATTCCTTCGAGTGTTTTGGGTCCTAGGAAAACATACTGTCCAATGTCCTTAAAGATTGATATGTGCTCATATGCGTCGTCTTTAGATTTACTCCAAATATCACTTGAGGTTCCTTATGGGGTATTAGAACGTGTCTCGATTAGGGTGAGGGTATTGGTATATAGTACCATCTGTTCTCATGCCGATAACACCAATAGTAGCCGTCTTCCGTCCCGTAGCCACCTAAAGAGAGTCAGGATTTATCAAGGGAAAAGTGCATTATCCATTCTCATTACTGTGGTGGTAATCTTGTCCCAAACATAGAGCATTGCCCAGTCAAGATCTGATAATTCTCGCCCGTTGTTGATCTCCCCCATGGACTTCCCAACGTCCACAATATAAACGGTGGCCTCTTTATCCGTCATATTGATGAATTTGTGTTAGATAACTGGAACAGCTCTCGGGCTCTTGTTCTTTCGGTTGTCTGGTTGTTGTACTAGCTCAGAGTCCAGGTTGTAGGTGACAGGTTTGCGGCTTAGTAAGCTAGGCAGACGCGCCAAACAAACAGGCCAAACACCAAACAAACACGCAATCACATGACTACACCTTGGTATTAGAACGTCATCATCGACGTCACAGTTGGAACTCAACAATACCAAAACAACACTTCAATTCGACTCAATCAGTGATACAGAACCCTAGGAGAAGCCTGATAAAAATGCCTGAACGGTCATCTCTTTTGGCGCCAGCCCATATCATCAGGTGTGTGTGACAACGCTTTCTTGGTTCTATTGTTTTCACATATACTAACTGTGAGGTGTAGCTATGGCTCGCTGCTAGGATTTCAGTCCTATCAAGTGCGATTTCCCGGTCGTTTTGTATATTACTATGCTAACTCGGGCTTTAGACATTTGTCAGTGGTATAATTGCGTTTAGAACGCTTCCCAGGCCACAGTTCTCAACCCTCCAATCATCTATTTTCCCAGTCTACTTTGGTCTGCAGGCTGCAGTGCCACTTGTGCTAGCTTTGACCTACCCTGGCGAAAAAGTCGCTGGTCGGTTTGGTCCCTCGGGTTTCGCCGGCGTATTTTCTGATAGCAACCGATGGAGCACTCTAATTCCCATCGTAACCACATTTTTGGGTGGAATCACGAATTTACTGGTCATTCAGCCAGCAACCGCAAAAGTGATGCGCCAAAGGAAAGAACAAGGTCGGTATTTTTCTATTGCTTACACCCGTATTTCTGCCCGTAAATAGCTGCTAACAGAATGATCAGAGTCAATTGATGGGAAGAAATACACGGACTCAGGTCCCCATTCAAAAGAGATGATGAAACTGAACAAGACATTCGGAAGGCTTCATCAATTATCAGCCGTGGTTAATCTGGCTGCCCTGGGAGCCACCGTTTATTATGGTACAGTTCTCGCAGAACGCCTCAACTAGAATCAAAATGCAGCATCGCTGTTATTATTTAATATGGTTGTCGTATATTTAATTTTTTATTATTTTTATTTTATTTTGTTTATTTATTTTTTGATATGTGGGTATTTGCATCTCGGGTATTTAATATCATGTTCTTACTGCCGAACTCTGGGGCAAAAGGACTTAACTATAGTACCTAAAGTGAGGGCATCCCTGACATATTTAATGTTGTTAGTATTGATTATAAGCTCTTTTGAACACCAAACCCATGAAATGAATGCTTGACTCTACTCATTAACAAAGGATGCAAGTTATAGAAGGCTAGAGTTTGTTATAACCTATCCCCCAGATAACCTTGTATACCTTTATATTTATTCAACCAATCATCATTACCTGCTCTTGCTCATATTTGACGTATATCTTTAAGAACGAACTGGCTAGGATTATCCGGTTCTAGGGAAGAGATCATCCAATATGTAGAAACCATACATGTAGTTATAAATGTATAGAAACTGGCCGCGTCGCAATTAGAGAGGCTATTCCGCGGCTTTAACGGTGCTCGAACGGCTTGCCTTCTTCAAGAATGCCGCAGAGATACTTGCCTGTTTTCAATGTCTCTAATTCATTCTAACCCTGGCAGATGTCCCACACAGCGCCTCTGATTATCCAGGTAGCAGTACGATGTAAGGCGGGTTGCTGCCTGGCAATTATAAAATGTACACTGTACAAACTGCCATGCTATGAGTCACATTTAGGGTATAGTCGCGCTGTCTGTAGGGTGACCGGAGGCTGCTCTTTATGATGATGCAAACGCCAGCATTGGTGCCCGCTACCAAAGCGCTCTCCCCAGTGGCAGGGATAATATATATGCCCTCAATCAAAGTCTAGAACCCCATGATGCTCCCTCCAGCGCTGGTCACCTTTTTCTTCCTAGGCTCAATATATTCAAGCGCGGGACGGCGGCATCTGGGATAGTCCAAGAGGATATAAGAATGAGCCCTTCACGCTCTTCATCGTAAGGTTTGTTTTCGAGCCATTGCCTCCTTAGATTTATATAGCGGCCACGCCTGGCTCTGGAAAGTACAGTCAATCTGCGTGTTTTATTACTATCCCACCGCGTAGCTAGATATATTTGTGAATCTCTATTGCTCGTTGTATGTTTGTGTGTCTGCTCGATGGTTACGCGAAACGGCGCGGCATCCTCGCTTCGCTTCAATAATTATCCGACTAGGCAGCAGTACCTAGGTAATCCAGGAAACCTAACCTCGAGTACATATTATATCCGTTAATGCAAGTACAATATCTCTCCAATAGAGGATCAATGGCTTCTGAAGATGAGGTAGACTACAAGGCCCTCTTTCTGCAGGCAGAGGAGCGAGCAACACGAGAAAGAGAGCAACGACAACAGGCGGAGAAGCGACAACAGGAGGCAGAGAAGCGACAACAGGAGGCAGAGACGCGAGCAACACAAGAAAGAGAGCAACGACTCAAGGCGGAGGAGCGACAACAGGAGGCGGAGGAGCTTAACCAGCCTACATCATTTAACGAGTTTATCCAATCATGCCATAACCTCCTCTCTCTGTCTATAAGGGTTCAACATCCAGCCTTCTCTACAAAGGGGTCAATCGGCAAGCCAGTTGGGAAATTATATCCAGTCTACCTTCGGCACTGGACGGACTGCTCAAATACTCAGGATAGATTTTACCGCGACGTCCTTAGCTATTTCCAACCAAGTGAGAGGCTATTTCCTCCCAAGATTGAACTCGAGGGAATTGCACGGAGATGCCGCCGGCGGCTATTAAGTAGTGAGGCGGATCTAGGATTTCACGAGCAACTTGCAGTAGAACAACATGTCCAGGATATTATTACAGCATTATGCAGGAAGCCGGAGGCTCGGGTTAGCTTTACTCTTGGAGAGGGAGTCATGTTTGAGAATCATACGAATATTATTGAAGAGGACAACGATAATATAAGTGTGATAGATGGACGGCGCTCTATACCAGACCAGTTCTGTATCCATCGACGAGAGAATGGCATCCTTAGATTACTTACTACCGTTGAGTATAAGCCGCCGCACAAGTTACCAGTCGAGTATCTACGCACTGGTCTCCGTCCTATGAATCTTTGGAAGGAAGTAATCAAGCGAGACCCCCCAAAGGACGAAGAGGCAAAGTTAATATATAACGCGGAACAGATAACAGCATCTGTCTTAGTTCAGGAGTTCGATGTGATGATTAGGGAAGGCCTAGAGTATTCCTATATTACTAACGGATTAGCCTATATTCTCCTACGTATAGATCGCGATGACCCTACAACACTCTACTACCACCTCTGCGAGCCTAATATGGAAATTAGCCCCGAGGAGACACAGATTTTACAGCCAAAAACCTCTATTGCCCGGGTACTCTGTCTTTGCCTGATGAGCTGCACCTCACAACCCCGGGATCAGAACTGGCGAAACCAATGGATAGAGAAACTGGACACTTGGGAGACAAGCCTTGACTATGAAAGATCGCAGATACCCGACGAGGAACTCCGCCGAACTCCTCCGGGCTCAGAGTATATACCATCCTCTCCTGTTTCAAGCCCTCCTATGGCAGGAGATCGACCTATTACTCGTTCCCGGGCCAGCTGTACACCCCAAAGCCTAACAGGGCTTACTGACTCTGACTCTGGCCCCAACTCTGATTCCGAGCAACCGACCCCCGGGCGGAAACGGAACTTAAGTGAGCTCACAGCGTCACCACCTAATCGACGACAGTCGCGCCAGAGAGAAGACGGGAGAAGTCAGGGGAATCATAGACAACACACGGAGGCATTTTGTACACAGAAATGTTTGCTCGGCCTTCATCGGGGAGGTAATCTAGATGAAGGGTGCCCGAACGTGGAGAGTCATAGATCAAGAAACGGTAGCGATAAGCACCCTATTGACGCAGAGCATCTAGTGGGCTTAATCAACCAACAGTTGGATAAAGACCTAGATCAAAACTGCACGCCCTTTGGTAAGTGTGGTTCGTACGGGGCGCCGTTCAAGATTACCTGTCACCAATATGGTTATACGGTAGTTGGGAAGGGTACGACATCCCGCCGCTGGGGCGAGGTGCAACGAGAAGCAGTGGTATATCGCTTTCTCCACCGGGCCCAAGGCTCTGCGGTCCCTGTATTCCTTGGCTGCGTCAACCTGAGAATGACGTACTATCTCCACGGCGCAGGGCCTATTAAACATATGTTGCTTATGGGCTGGGGCGGAGAGGATACTAGTACAATTGAGGGTTCCCAAAAGCTAGACAGTGAAATTAAGCGGTCAGAGAAGGAGATCCGCACCATGGGGGTTAACCATTTGGACTTGAAGCCTAACAATATCCTTTGGAATGCAGAGTTAGGACGGGCCTTGATAATTGATTTCCACCGCTCTAGGTTGATCGTCTCTCCAAGACACAGAATATCCAAGAAGCGATTGGCCGCCCTGGATGGAGTAGAAGATGGGAGGAAGAGAACGGGGAAGAGAGGCAAGGTCTTTTAGTGTTGAGAATCCACTATATATATACTACTACATAGTAGTCTTGATTTGTTAGGCACTGTGGAAATGACGGTGGCGGGCTGGGGATCAGGAGCATGCCCCATGCGGGACCAACCTTTCAACGTCTCTTATATAGAGTCTACAGGTAAATATGCCCCTGGTATGGGCTTTACGTCACATCTAGGGAATAGGGATACGGACTCTACATTCCCACTTGGCTTTAAGGTTTATTGGGAAGATGAAGCCTATCTCTCGCTGGCAGAGCCCGAGCCGAGCGTTCGCTCACAGACACTGGTTTACCACTCCAATGGCGGATCAAAGTGACGTTAAGGGGCTCAGTTTCTGGCATATCAGACGGAAGGCCTCAAAGCACAATCGACGGAAAGAATTTCAGGACTTTGCTAGAGCGATAAACTATGAATCTCTCGCCCTCCTGGACGATACTATGACCGAGGTAATATTGACAGAAGGATCAGAGGCAGCGGCTACTATTAAAATAAAGTGTGAAGCCAGCGAGCCCACAAACAGGATTGGAGGAGTTGCTGAAATGCTGGGGTATTAGATTCGGGAAGACCCGCTGAGAGTCATCTACCCGTCATGCAAAGAATTCCAATGGTATCCGCACACGTTCAATCACCGCACTTCAAACGGAAGGTCGAGGGGTGATATTTCGTCTCGAATCTCCGGGCTCATGGATTGTTCCATCAATGCCGCTGATGTCAATGAGAACTGCACACCCTCCATCGAGCACTATATCAGGGGTTTTTATATCCATATGGGTTCTGCCTGCCGCGTGCATAACGGGAAGCTCTTATCAGAAACTGCATCTGCTAGTAGCCGCCCCTAATAAGCTACTTAATACCCAGCAGCGTCACAGCCGTCGTCTTATTTTAGGTACGAGAGCCTTGCAGACTCAGCCGAGGTTCCCGTTCGGGTCAAGTGTGGCCCGTTCCGATTTGGGCCCGCCGGTTCGGGAATAGCATTTGATGTGCTTTCGGCACTTTTTCCCACTACAGCAGAATCCACCACAGCAACAGCAGGGTTAGATGGACTGTAGAGCTCGATGGCGTCCAAATTACAGTCCATTCTTGCTCTGGATTTTACGATAGGACTTTTCCGTCTTAACTATCGCCAGATAAGATTTTGATGGTTCACCTACATCCTCTCACTCCACCATGCCTTCTCACATCGAATGTTCAAGGCCCCAACGGCCCTTCAAACGCCCTATCAAACACTCTCTTGACAAGAGCGACTCTGAGTGTCCGCATTTAAGCAAGCGCCAGCAGCCAATACCGACCCCACCGACACCTGGTCATTCCCTGGACAAGGCCACTCGACCAAGCAGCCATCAAACTGTCTCTTCGACACGGACAGAGACCTCTTGTCCTTCGAAAAAATACGCCCCCAAAGACGTCAACCCTGCATCCAACCATAAAGCAAAGAAGCGCCGCATTGACGATTGGTTTGCAGGACTCCTTCCTATTCGCGCGAGCAGTTGCCCTCCACGTCTACTTCCCAGCGACCCACCTAGTCTCAGCCCGGGTGAAGGACAGCGGCCATTGCTCGAAGTGCTTCAAGGAATGTCAGAGCCACAGACACAGAGACTTGGGCGAGGATCAACCGGATCCACTCGAAGCTCGCGGCCACCCACGTCCCACCCCGATTATCGCTCGATTCTCCGCAACAACGGCGTATATATTGACCACACTGGCGCAAAGATATCACAAGAGCTGCAGTGCTTCCTTGATTCGGATATCCTCAAGGAGCGGTCCGCGTCCTTATCGCCTCAAGCGATTGCCGAAGCACTAAATACTGCTGTGGAGATTGCGGACAGCCCAGAAGGCAACATATACGACCTAGTGGGTACGGCTCTACTCCCTATCAAACGCTCTGATGTCGGGCGCGGACGCAACACACCCTGGTATACCGATGGCTTGCCGCGGAAAGAGGCTTTTGACACTCCTCTGGCACAGCCAAAGCCTGATGTTCACTGCGGTTACCTGACGGGCCAGAGATCAACTTGGACTGTCGAGGAGAACGCAGTCATCGATCATCAACAAGCAAGACGAATCACGCAACCAGCTATAGGCAACTGCTTTCCATTTTTCGTGTTCGAGATGAAGTCAGAGGCCATGGGCGGGAGTATTTGGCAGGCGGAGAACCAGGCAGCGGGAAGTGGCGCTTGTTGCGTTAGCGCTATGCGCTGGCTTTTCCGAGAGGCATATCCCTCCGAAGACCAGTCCGTCGTCGATTCGATTGCTTTTTCGGCTTGCGTCACTCACCGAGAGGTCGTGCTTCATGTTCATCACTACTCTGTAGCAGAGGATCGCTACTACATGTCTTCAATTGGCACCTTTCAGACTATGCGTGACGTCCAAGCATGCAACAATATAGTAAAAAATATCTTCGAGCATGGTCTAGGAACCCGTCAAAGGAAAACCCGGGATGCTCTCAAACAACTGTACCCTTTCCCGAAGCATTGGAGAAAGACTCGATCCGCCAGGATGATGGAATTGGGGGTCCTTGGGGCTGACAATGAAGAAGTGGCCACAGACAGGAGTAAGCGCACAGAATACGAAAGTTGAAGCCATCGGAGATGGTAGCAGACAAGGTGATGAATAGCACCAAAGGATTTTCATTGAGAGTACAAAGGAAAATCTAATTGACATTCATTTGCTCATTTACAAGATTGAGATCGCGTTCTGTACAAACAAGAAGTATTAGATAGGGCCACAAGCCAATAAATATATTTACGTCAAAATTTGCTATATCTACACTTCTTTCTTCGGCGTGACACCACTAAAAATTGATGCGCTGGAGTATATTGAAATTCTATGAAAGAAGATTATACGCATAATGGCCGTAATTTCTAATATCAAGTGACCTGCTATAACAATAACCACCTAGTATTAGGAGCTAGCTATAGATAAATAGATTTAGAGATATAATTAAATTGTAAATCTCTAAGTACTGAGTTATTGCTGACTAATCACACCTACGTCCTCCGAAGTATCACGTGAAATACTATTCGGGTTTGTTTTTTGGCAACTTCAATAAAACATCGATAAAGGAATATTCCTGCAAACAGGCCATTTTCCAGCGTTGTCGAGTCAATAATCTCGTGAATAGTGTTACATTGAATGGATAGTCTCCGATGACCCTGTTACTTTTTGTTTGCACCTAGTAACAAGCAAAGACAAGGCTTTATAGGCTTTATCGGCCTCGCTTTTGGGAGAGTGGTATTGCTTCTATAAACAATCATAATGCGGAATCCTGACCATGAAAACAGAGTGTTGATTGTACATTCACTCAATCCTTTGATCTTGGCTTGTTAGCCTTGATATATGCTACAACCTTTATTGTTTGCGAAAGGCCACCTGCTATACCGAATGCCTTTGCTAGATTGTCACCCAAAGAGGGCAACTAGCTAACCCAGCCAGCTATTCATTGAACCTTTGATACCCCTAGGTGTATTGTTATATCTAGTATTGTGTTCATCGGTGGAAACAATAAGAATTCTATGGCCAGTCTGCCCTTTAGGCTCAGCAAAAATTCTTCTGTTGATCCACATGATTATTGGTTAAATTGAATAGCATTTCCTCTTTACCAGCCATGGATGTTCAATCTTATTTCTTCTATCATCAGCGCGGCAGCTCTCTCAGCCCAGAGGAAGGTGTCGGATGTTCTGAATCTCTGAGGATTTTCCAGCCCTCTAAGTATTTCTTGCTTGCCACTATTTACCCCTCCCTTATTTATTGACACTGACTCCTGGAAAACATATCTTTCCCCCTAAATATTGTCACTCCTGGCTCACTTACCGTACTCCAATTCCTTAGCCTAACTGCTATCGGCTGGTTTGCCTGCTCCATCCATATGCACAAGCCCTTGAGTATTCTTGTCCCTCCTTAAGTTGAATTCCAGCATATTGTGTACCTTTCAACCATGGAACCTGTTATCCTGTTTGGGTTATTTACCCTTTTTACAATATATGGCCTTTGGCTTCCTATCCCGATGACGACGGTAAACCCATATTCGCCCTTGCCCGCCAGAATTGCCGGAAGCATCCAGTTAACAGCCACAACAAACTCCGCATTGTCTGTGTTTCGCAACGTGATGTGGCCGGCTGCAAATTCAACCGTCTATTTGAACGATTCCCTCAATAATGCCACCTTGATCCTCAATGATCATTTCGAGGACTTCATAAACAAGTGGGATCGCAAGTTTGAGGAACTTAGGGTTGAAATCGCTGAACCTTCCATTCCCACAACCACGATCTCTAACCCGACACCTACATCACCAGTTACAGCAACTAACACCATATGGCCAGAGTTTTACACCACTCATCGAGAATACAACGAGTGGGTTGGGTACACACTCTATTGCTTTGTGAAACAAGAGGTCAAACGCAATCCAAATATCTACACTGCGGCCACCATCTTTATTCTTGTCAACTACTGGCTAGTGCTGTCTGCTCGAAGGTCTGAATTAGTACAGAAGCGGGGCGCAACGAAGGGGTTATCTACAGATGGTACAAATGAAGCACGCGATCAGCTTTCTGCACAAAATGCCCGCTTGGAGTTATTAGAAGCAAAGGTCGATGGACTTTTATTTGCACCTGCTACTGATTTGACAGACGGGCAGCACCGTCTTTCAAGGAACGCTCCTGGGAGAGTCCCACCATTGAACGATACCAGGCATGACATAAGGCGGGCCCAACGAATATCGATCAACCAGTCTGAAAGACTCGAATTCGCATCCCTTCAAGAGCAGTTAGAGGTGATGAGGCAAGATTTAGTTTCGTTGAAAAACACTTCGGAGGCTCGCTCAGAGCGCATAAATTTCATGATAGACACTATTACGGAGTTTAAAAAGGACGCTCAAACGGAAAAGTGTACGAATAGACTGGAGGATATAGCCTCGATCAAGAAAAGTGTTTCTGAAGAACTTAAATCAGAGATTGAATCCATTCGAGCCCAGATAACTGATTTGGAACATGCTGCTATCTCCTTCCGAGAGGAGTCAAAGAAAAGCATTGCAGATCATATGTCCTCTATAATATATACCATCAACGGGTTGCAAAAAGAATCCGAAAGAGCCAAACGAAAAGGCCAACTCGCAGATTTGGCCTCAATCAAAGAAATGTCCCGAGAACACAAATCAGAGTGTGAGTTACTTCAAGAGCAGATAACGGATCTGCAACATTCTACATCTACGCTCAAAGAGGAATCAGAAGAATGCATTACAAAGCATGTATCTACAATAATAAGTACGATCAACGAATTGAAGAAAGATTCAGAAACAGCTAAACGCATGAATCACGCGCCAGCTATCGATTCGGTGAAAAAGGATGTGTCTAATCTCAAACACTCCATGAAGAAACTTGAACATGAACTGGATGAAAAGAGGGATGATGCCAGGGCTATCGATTTACATAAGCTGAAGGCGTCTGTGGAGGCTCTACAACAAGACAAAACTGGAGCACTGAAGGAATTCTCTATACGTCTGGATAGAGTAGGAGAAGTGCTACAATCGCAACCATGGATGGCCGAAAGTGAAACGTTCAATCAGCGGATCTCGAACGTTACAAGTAAGCTTCAGGCTCTAGAAAGGAGTACACAGACTGAAAAGAGCCTAAGCTTTCTCCAATCGCAATTGGAGTCACTGAGTACTAAAGTTGATTTTACGGAGACTTCGTTAAAAGAGCTAAAGGGAGAAACTGCGACGAAATTTGAACACAAGTCCCTTTTGATGGAAGTTAAGCACCTTGAAGGCCGTATACAGCAGTGGGAAACCATTCCTCAGAAAGGTCCAGTTAGTGTCGTTAACGAGGATTCGGTCAAACTGAGGGATCTGGGTAAAAATTATGTGGACCTCATGTCGCAATTTGCCGAAATCAAGGACGCCTTCGCTTCCCTAGTTTCAAGCGATATCCCTAAGCAGCGCTCAGAAGACCATAACCAAGTTACTGAAGCTATCCGACAAAGTGCAAGCCAACTTGAGAAAAAGATTAAATCTCAGTATGCTCGTGAGGAGGATGTCCGCAAATGCCTAAATGTTATTCAACCAGAAGGAGGCAAACCCATCGACCTACGAAGCCTTAAGGAAAGACTGTCTGATATTGAGAATTACGCATACGGAACGAAAAATGACCTAATTATGGCCAAGGAAAGAATAACTGATAGCGAGCAACATATAGAAACTTTGCGCGAGGGGAATGCTACGAACTACAAAGATATTCGTCGATGCCTTGGAAAGTTAGGGCTTCCAGGGAGCGTTGTGTCCCTTAGTGAACCTATCAATCCAAAACATGTTCCTGCAGAATCTAAACCACCCGTCCACATTGATATGTCAGTGGGGAGAAAGATTAACGCGCCGCAATCCTCCAGTCCTCAGGACCGAGGGGATAAGAACATTAGCCAGTTTGATCCAAGGTACAAGGGAGATGGAAAACCTACCGGCTCGGGCAGTTCGTCAGCGGCCACCCAAGATCTGGTGGGGGTAAATCAGAAAGAAAACAGAAACCGGTTTGATGAAAATGATAAGAGAAGCGACTCTAATACAGAGCCTAGCCCGTCGAAGGTTTCTGACGGCCTGCTAGAGACAAGACAGGATAAAAACATTAGTCGATATGACCCAAGATATAAGGGTGACGACAAATTCAGAAGTTCTTACTCTGAGTCAGGATCTCCGGGGATGTCCAAAACTAGAGGAAACCTAAACCCCAAGGCAGAGTCATTTGGGGAATCTTCCAAAAGACAGGGGAACAGAAGCCTGGCGTTAAAGGCCAGCTTTTCTCCCCTAGTATTTGGGAGAAAAGTAAATCAGGAGGCTGAGGAACCAGCGGAGAATAAAGCTGACACAGGCGAGCATTCATCTCAATCTTCTGTTCAAGCCTCCACGCCTCAAGAGGAGCATCAGGGAGGGCCACGGGAGAATGAAGAAAAGAACGCAGATTCCCCATCAGCTCTAGATCATAGTGATGGTAAAGACTCTATTTCTCCCCTTGCTGATACTGCTGCCGAAAAATCTCCCGAGGAGTCAGTTACGGACAAGATGGAAGATGAGAAATGAGTTTGACCATGGCTTTATGACAACTGGTTTGCCATGAACTATGGAGGCCTTGTTTATTTATATTTAATCCCCATGGTTAATACTAGTGTTGTTCTATTACCCTCGGCGCAAAATTAGACTACCTGCAAACCCTTCTACAGCTAACTTGAGGTTGTTGCTTAATATGCCATAAGCTTCAATGAATTTCAATACTAATCGCTGTTTGCATGTGTTTCGTTTAGTAGTTTAGGGTAGTCATTCAAATTATCAAACTATTATGCAAAATTGCATTAATTCTCAGAATCATATACATACTTCCTACAGGCTGTTTTGAGCAACTCAATGCGCCGTTGCGTATGTGTAAATACTTCGCGATACATCTGAACGTTCTGGTCCACGATCTCAGTTTTCGTCCTGGTTCCAGAACAGATATCTCGCATTCGCAACTCCATCTCTTTGCGAAGGAACGGCTTTGTTAGGCTAGGGCAATCGGGCAAGCCAGCAACCACATTGTCATAACCTTCAACCAGAGCAACCCCCAATTTTGTAGGGATAAATTCCTCTACACTACTCCCTGATCCTCTACCACCGCCACGCGGTCTAGTTGCGACATACTCTCTCTGCTTTATCTTTGATATATGATCAGCCATTGTAGCATCAGTGCCGATTCCGTTCGCATCCATGAGCCCAATGAGTTCGGGTTCTGTTAAATACCCTGGCGCAACTGTTTTACCCTCCGTGATGTTCGCTTCTCTGGGTTCAAATGTTTCATTCAGCGAGAAGTTTGGCAGAGGTTGGCTGCTTTCCCATTTGTCATATACATAGACATCCAGATAGTTTCGTTCTAGTACGACGAGACCGCGGGTATGGAACTGTTCGTCACCATACTTGATCTCAATATCGGTAGATTCGCCTTTTGCATCTTCGGAGCAGCAGGCTAAGAATCTCCTAGCAACGAACTCATAAACCTTTTTCTCATCGGCCTTGAGGACTCTTGGAGCAACGTAAGCCACTGGATGAATTGGGGGATGTGCTTTATCATTATTTCGACCCCGACGAGGCTGTTTAAAACCTCCACCTATAAGCCTAAAATAAAGAATGTCACAACCGAGCGCCTGAAGTTAGAAAGAAGTTTTAATGTTGTTACGGTAGAGAGAATACGAACCCCCGTGCATAATCACCCCATATATCACTCGGATATTGTTTCTCAACCAGTTTTTTTAGGTCAATTTCATTATCAAACTGATCAGTTTCGGTGGCGGGATACTGATGAAACCCTCTCGTATAAAGAGATCGGCGGCTTTAGTAATATAATATCAAGTTAGAAGGGTGGTCTGGCTTAATTTTATTGCTGGTGTTCCATACCTCATAATTGCTTGACTGTCCATTCGCAGGTATTTACTTCCCATCATTTGAAGATCGACCGTGGTTAAAGGAAGTGGCCTCCATTTGCTAGTAGGCTTTTTGTTAACTTTAGTAACGGTTGCTGTTTTAGCAGCTATGCATCGCTCAAAGAGAACTACCACTACAGCTCTGTCAAAAAGGTGACCACGCTGCCAGTTGAAGTTCACCGTAATACTATCGCGGGTATGTGAAACTTTGATCGACCAGAACGCCTCCGGCTTGAAGTTTTTCACCCTCATGTACCTATCAACGACGAATCCAAGAGTTGGAAATTGGCATGAGCCTTGATAAATTGACCGATTAGTATGGTGGTTCATGTTGTGCCTTCAAGGGAACTTTACCATAACTAATTATCTTCTCAGCCAGAACTCCCCCTAATGCTTGAAGTTGGAGAGTTTGAAGTCTCGTAAAAGCTGCTCCTATACGTAAATCCAACTCAATCCTAGCAGCTACGGCATCCACCTGTTGCTCGTCAAGTCCGATTGGCCCTCGAGCAGCCTGTAGCACATGCCTACACATACCTGTGATTAAATTAAGCTAAATCCCGCTCTGGAAATCATACTTACGTTCGTTCTGTATTACTGAATTTCGCCCTCTTGACTTCAATCCTTGGGTTGCCTAGTACAGCCTGAGCTTTAACCTCAGAGCCGATATACTCCCCTTCCCTATCACAGTCAGTCCATATGAACAGAGCCTTAGAGTAGCGAGCCTGTATCTTGATGTTTTTAGCTATACCAAGCTTTTCCTAATAAAAAATACAAGTTAGTTCGTCACCGCTTCACGGACATGGACTGCGCATCTTGACAGGATTCTGACTTTATCAACGGAAGTTATGACGTTTGCGTCAAATAGCTGAGAGGGGTTGCATGAACTCCAGTTTCTATATCTAGGCTCAAATTCTGATGTTGTTAAATGGCCTAAGACACTTGTCATGACAACGGAACAACTGCCCCACGGAGGATCAAATGTAAAATCAAACTCGTAATTTTTTACATATTGATTGCCTTCGATGTTAAACTGGTAGAAAAGAGTATTAGTTTGTTCATTTGCTCTCGCAGGGCAACACTCTTACTGTTCTTAGGCGTCCACCAGATAAATGTTGAGCCACCAACTTAGCAATCGCTGGTTTCTCTGCAACGCATAGAATTTTGGGAGCCATAAGAGCGCCCTGGTATTATCACAATTCATCAGAATCTCATGCCCCGCAATGACTTCTTTGCTTCTACTTTTTCTCTCTCGGTGCTGCGGTTTCAGGGCGAAATGTCCACTGACGTCGAGAAAGTCGCGTTAAATAAGCTTCATTTAATGTTTTAATTCGTGCACGGTCCACAACTCTAAACCTTCCTCACATTTTTGAAAACAAACAACGATCTCAAATTTAACTCGACTTGTCAACAACAGAAAGACAGAACAGACACACTGCACAGGTTGTTCTCGAGATGTCTGCCATGGCGTTACCAGCTCTTAAATCTGCAGCTGATTGCGCAGATTTCTCTCAAGCAGTGCTCCCTTTTCTCCCACAGCTTTACTCGCTACCGACGAGAGTGTTAGCGGCTGGCTTCGACATCGATGGGCTTCGAGAAATCTACCTATCAACGAATCCACTCATTACGGCGTTTGCTTTCTCGCTGTTCCTGGTTCCAACCTTTGTCCTGATTTCCGAAATAAACCGAAACTATTCTCAAGTCGACCGAATGTGGAGCATCCTACCGTCTATTTATAACGGACATTTCGCCCTTTGGTGCAGGCTGAAAGGAACCTCCACTACGGAAGTTAACACAATCCTTATTTTCACAATAATCTGGAGTGTAAGCGCAATGAAATCAAGTCATCACTATGCCACATTTACTTATATATGCTTCCTTTGCCGAAAGCCTTGGACTAACGATTTGTTCTTCCCTTCATAGGTCCGCCTTACTTTTAATTATTGGAGGAAAGGAGGCTATTCCATCGGCTCTGAAGACTACCGCTGGCTTGTTGTTCGAAAAAGAATCAATCATCCAGCGTTATTCTTTCTACTCAACGTCTGCTTCATCAGCTTCACTCAATCTGTTCTCCTATTCCTCATTACCGCGCCTACATATATCTTTGTGCTCATCAGCACCCTTCGCGATGCACCGAGTTTTGGTATTCCCGACCTCGTATTTTCCAGATTCCTTCTCTTCCTTGTGTTGATCGAGCATTTTGCCGATCAGCAGCAATGGAAATTCCAGCAGGCCAAAAAACAATACCAGAAGACTGCACGTGTCCCACCGGAATATAAAGATATGTATACAAACGATGACTTGGACCGTGGATTTGTGGTATCTGGCCTTTGGGCCTGGTGCAGGCATCCCAATTTTGTAGCTGAGCAGGCGATTTGGGTGACGCTATACATTTGGTCTGCTTATCGTGTGGAATCATATTTCAATTGGAGCGGTGTCGGTGCATTCTGCCTTGTGCTGTTATTTCAGGCAAGCACCAATCTAACTGAAAGCATTACCGCGAGCAAGTACCCCGATTACAAGCAGTATCAAGCCCGAGTTGGGAAGTTCATTCCCCGCTTTGGCGTTGAGCCTTGAAGAAGGGTTGAGAATTGGTCACGATTCCAACAGTTTTATATGTATAAACCTTTAATTGTTAATATGTTTGGGAAACTTTTCTTATAAAAAATCTTCTTCTATTTGTTGGATTGGGACGGTGAAATCTCAAGCTTGTATTGATGGCAATCAGCGTTATCTGGGGCATATCGCACATAAATACCCACTTCACCGTTTGGAAAACAAAGGCCTGTAATCTAAATGCTCTCTTAACTACGAAATTAACAAAGCTAAGTGTGTCTACGAGGACCACACACATACACATGAATACATATATAAAAAAATGCAAAGACCAGGCTTTGCTATATAGATAAGATCATTTATCTTTACTAATTTACAATGGGGTGTAGTAGTTTGGGAGGTGAGAGGGAGATGGGGAGAGATGAGAGAAAAGAACAACAACCGTTACATCGCCGGATAGAAGGGTGTATAAAAATGAATATTTGGCGGCATATGGATTTCCCATTTTGATATGCTTTCCGAACGAACACTTCTACCAACACCTCAAACATCAATGATATATAGGAGATGGAAAAAATGACAAGAGAATTTAAAAAATCGCACCCAAACGAAAGAAAAGGAAGAATTACAAATAGAATGGATGTGAAGGATGGCGAAAGCTAGACAATACATGTATATTAAAAGGGTCGGAGTGGTTCCAAATAAGATAGAGATCAGTGGGTATTTAGGTAGGGGGTGAGGAAGGGGAGTCACCCTTAGCCTCGACATCATCAACTTTTGGGGCATCAGTAAGAGTCTCTGCGGGCGGCGGTGGCTGTATCTTCCCGCCAGCTCCATCAAAATACTTGGCAAATTCTCCTGATTCTGGGTAAGGCCGCTTGCCCAGCAATCGGATCATATCTTCGCGACTAAGGACTTCTTTGGAAAGGAGCTCCTCAGCAACTAAGCCAACTTCAGCTTTCTTTTCAGTTAAAAGATCCCGGCATTGTTTGTAAGCTTCGTCAACAAGACGTCGAACTTCCATATCAATATTTCGGGCTGTCTCCTCCGAGAATGGTTTGTGGAGTTGTTGTTGGTCCTCTTCAAAATATACTGTTCCAATTTTCGGGGACATGCCAAACTTAGTAACCATAGCAGTGGCTAGGCGAGTAACTTTATTGAAGTCGTCGCTGGCACCACTTGTCACGGTATCGAAATGTAGCTCCTCACTAACTCGTCCACCAAGTGTCATGGCCATTCGGTCCATAAGTTGATGAACGTTCATCAGGTACGTATCACCTTGTGCTGGGAGGTACTGAGCATAGCCTAAAGCACCTTGGCCACGAGGAATGATTGAAACCTTTAGGAGTGGGTCTGCATACTTGAAGTACCAACCGCATATAGCGTGGCCAGCTTCATGGTAAGCAACTGTACGTTTCTCTTCTGGTGACAGCACAAGTGACTTTTTCTCCAAGCCTCCAATTACCCTTTCGATAGCTTGCTCGAAATGGGACATTACAACGTGATCAGCGTGCATGCGGGCAGCTATAGCGTATATTAGTTTTGATAGAAACATCGTGAAGAAAGGGGCAATTGTAACATACCAACCAATGCAGCTTCGTTGACGCAATTGGCAATATCAGCACCAGAGAAACCGGGAGTCAGAGCAGCTAGTCGCCCCTTCAAGTATTCAATATCCTCCTTTGTGACTATCTTCTTCAAATGGACGCCAAATATTTGTTTGCGTCCATCCATGGTAGGCTTGTCGATAGCAATATGTCGGTCAAATCGTCCAGGACGCATCAAGGCTTTGTCCAGAACATCGGGTCTGTTTGTACCGGCTAAAACAACGACTTGCTCCGAAGTGTTGAACCCGTCCATTTCAGTGAGAATCTGGTTAAGAGTGCTTTCTCGTTCATCATTTCCACCTCCGAAATTAGATTTAGATCTTGATTTCCCGATAGCGTCGATTTCGTCGATGAAGATAATGCATGGAGTGTTTTTGCGGGCAGTAGCAAACAGGTCACGGACACGAGATGGACCAACGCCGACGAACATTTCCACGAATTCAGAGCCGCTTACGCTGTAGAATGGGACGGCAGACTCACCAGCAGTTGCCTTTGCCAGTAAGGTTTTACCAGTACCGGGAGGCCCAGAAAGGATGGCTCCTCGAGGTATCTTTGCGCCTAGCCTTTGAAACTGCTCCGGCTTTTTAAGGAAACTGACGAATTCCATGATTTCTACCTTGGCTTCATCCATGCCGGCGACATCAGAGAATTTCGTCTTCACGTCCGTTTCGTGGTTGAATTTCCTAGCACGGCTCTTCCCAATGCCAAAAATTCCACTCTGGCCACCACCGCCGGCACCGCCAGCCCTTCTCGATAGCCAAAAGAATGAACCGATTAGGAGTAAAGTGGGGCCGAAGGACAACAAAGTGGCTAGCCATGGGACCTCATCAGCATATGCAACTGGAATTCGTTCCGAGCTAGGGATATTCAATTCTCTGTGAGCGTCGTCTAGACGTCTCTCAAAGGCTTCTACAGAGCCTATTGTGAAGTAGTAGTGGAAGTTGACGTTGGTGGCAGGAGATTCGGGGTATATTTTAGCAACGGCATCCCGGTCTAATTCAACTCGTACCTTACTGCGATTAACAACAGTAAGTTTTTCGACTAGGCCCTTGTCAAAGAAGGTATTCCTAAATTCCTGCCATGTAATATCTCGTGATGACTCGCCGGGGAAAACACTTCGGTAGACGTAATACGAGATGAAGGCGGCAACCAAGAAATTTCCGGCATCGAACTTGAAGTCCATTATCTTAAACTGAGGGCCCTTTGACTGATCTTTCTCATTTTTGCTCCGCTGTTCCTTTTTGGCCTTGCTTGATGGGTCCTCCTTGGATTCTTCCTCTTTGGGTGCTTCTCTTTCTTTGCCTTTCTCCTCAGAGGTGTTCTTGGAGTGTTCTTCAGCCACAGTAGATGCTAACTTCACCGAGTGCTTATTGAGAATTCGCACAAGTTTAGCAGCATTAGATAGGCTGATATGTTTCGATTCCCGTACTTCCTCCAGAGCTGTCTTAACTTCATCCGGCAGGCCTTCACGTTTGATGACTTCCGCAGCTGTGTCAAGAAGCTTCGCCTGTGATTTGGGTAGGTTCACCTTGAGTTGATCGACGATTTTATCGAGCTCAGCTCGTTGTTCCGCATTGAGGACATATTTCGATTGGGCGTCTTTGTTGGCTTGAGGTTCACCGGATTGGCCAGGCGTAGAGCTCTCTGTCTGCTTCCCAATGTCCTTTTCTCCGTTCTTTTTATCTCTGGGGGGCTCGGAACTGCCTGTACTGCTGGTTGCGTATAGCCGGGAGCGGTTTGCGACAATGAAAGCTGAGAGCCTGGATTGAGGAAGGGAGGCTGAAAACGGTGTGCGTGAGAAGGCCGTATACCCTGCGGCTCTTCTGGAGTACCGAGCAAGGCCACCGGGGCGCCGTAGGAATGTGGCCATAGCCAGAGAGTAGATGGAGAGAGTAGGAAACTAACAAGCTATGAAATCAATACGCGTCAAGAAATCAGCTCTGAAAAGGCAAACCGGACGCCCATAGGACCTCTCCTAAAGATAATCAGACGCAGCCGGTGGGCTGGACAGAGAAAGAATAAGAAGATATTTCGGTGCGAGAGCGAGATGAAGTCGAGATATTTTTAACCAGATCGGTTGAGCTTTCACAAGTTGTTCCTGTTCCGAATTTTTCGCCTGTGCTGACTCATCCGCGAAAAAAGTCGGACGGATATTTCGGACTTAAAAGTCATAGTAAGAGATGGAAGATGAAGATGAGATGAGAATTCATTTAATATTATCTACGGCATGCATTCAAGACATATACACTCCAGAAACTCCCTATCCAGCCGCGCCTGAATGTACCGGGTATCAGATATCGACAGCCACAGGCAGAAAGCGCTGAAGAAGGCTGGAGATAGAGAGATGTGACATATATATCCCATAGTAACTGATCTTCCAGAAAATACGATTTTATGAGAAAGGAATAGAGTGGAAATCGTAATATCTGTGATCTGAGACTCCTTCCACATACACCTACCGCTGTCACAAGACAATAGCCCGCTCCACAAAAAATAAAATAAACCAGTCACACTTTTTCCCTTCTTTGTACTCTCCCCAGCATCCTTATTCCGCAGCTCCGTTAGAAAATGGAAAATTGTTCGACATCTCTGCCCAGTCCCATTCAAGTGTCATGGGCATCTGCCACAGGTCTTGAGGTACAAAAGGTTGTTGGAATGATGAGACATCCAGTGGCATGGGCTCATGAGAAAGCTGTTGATCGACGTTGTATATTCCTGGGCTGACATTTAGTCCAGGGCCGCCAATGATATCATTTAGCTCCTGGTTGAATCTTTCAGTATTCTTCAACTGTGCAGCAGCGATATCTTCGTTGGCCACCGCATCAAATGCGTTCTGTGATGATGTTTGAGGTGATGGGAATGTGCTCGATGATGTACTCGATATATTAGTATTATTATTGTTAAGATGGGCAGGTAGTTGTGAGGGGAATGAGTGCTGCTGTGCATTTGATAACGGAGGGTTTTCAGCCGTTTGTGGCCGAAGACGAGGGGTATCCTTATCGTTGCCATTTGGAGTGGTATTGAAGTCCTGCTGATCGTCACTGGTCTTTCTCTTACGCCTCGACTGAGATTCTTTCTCAGCTCTGTCTAGCGCAACTTTGGCGATTCTTTCAAATTCGGTACAGACGCTAAGCATGCGCTTGACGCTACCATTGGACTCATCAGTGGCAAGCATTGAGAGGAAATTGACCACAAGGTTCATAAGCTTGACGTCCGATCGAGCTCTTGCGTCAAGTGGGTTTTGTAAGATGTTGGCAAACAAAGTTACCAAGGATGAAATAGGGAAATAAATAATTAACCTGCAGTTTGAAGGTATTAGTTACTCCTGTTCTCATAAAATCTATGCTGCCATCATAACTATCACTCACCATACACAGGCAAAGTCGCCCTGCGGGATGTACTTGATAAGGTTTATTGAGGCGCGAGCGGCTGAGACACAGAGGATAGCCGACGAAAATACCCTAGGGTTGAGTGGCCTAGCGTTTAGACCTTGTATGGCATAATTCGAAAGACGGCTTGTCCAATATCCATGATGGACAGACATTCGGTGTATTGTCGTTAGACAATTGTAGTATGCGAAATGAAGAACGACAATAGGAAGGATCAGCGGCCGATGAGTGGTTTTAATCTCATGTTCTGGTCTGAAGTCTATAGGAATGCTATTCTTCCACTCCTCAAGTTCATGATCCAGTTCACCAATGGTATTTAGAAGTTCACCATCAGACTGCCGTGATGATTTGGTGGAATATAGTTGCCTATATACCTTGCTTTCAATAGCTGCGAATATGCACATGAGACGGAATAAATTTATTTTCCCTTTGCCATCGGAAAGTGGAACGTTGCCGATGTTATCGGGAGGATCCTCGCTGGGCAGTTCTACGTTCATGTCGTCATCATCTTGCACAGGGGGTCGACCTGATCGAAGGCAGATGCTTTAAAAGAAATTAGCACAATGTGCGCATTAACAAGGATCCAGCAGATACATACTCTTTATCTAGAATGTAAGCAATCCAAAAGACACGCTTCCGTTGCTCAAGCTCTACAGGGTTCAGGCCGAAGCCCGAGCAACGCTTATGTAGACCTATACTGTGAGACAAGCGGATTCCGGCTGCAACGAGGAAGAATGAAGGCTGAGGATTTGGTGTCCCTTGGAGAAATAATGCCTTCAAGAAATCAATGGTGTTAATTCTGGCGATAAAGGTAGGAGCTCGTATGGCTTAAAGGACTTACCATCCCAAGCAGAGCTTGCACACTTAGAAGGTCAGTATTCCGCATTGTAAGCTCTGTGAGCACACCCATGGCATTCTTAAGATAAAGCCATGCCTTCTTATCTTCTTCCTGCGGTGCAAGATTGCTCATTACCCGTAGTCTGTGAGCGATTGCCAGCGCAACATTGATGCTAGCCCACCACCCAGAGCCTTCGTACGGATCTCTCGAGTATTGCTTTTCAACTAGATGCATAAAGGTAGGTTCATGAAACAGAGGGAATATACAATTGAAATTTTCAAAATAATCCCTGAAGAGTGATAAAGCCTCCTCTTTGGGTGGTAGAGGTTTAAAAACCCGGCGGGCAAATATGTCGCTAAAAATTTCTGGTTTCCAGTATATCCATTTGTTATCATCTACGCATGCAGATGAAATCATATGCTGGAAAGAAGTGTCTCCCGTTTTCTCATTTACCCATTGGATACCCTTCGGAGAGAATATGGAGAACCCCGAGGACGAACCTAGTATGATACGTTAATTATCACCAAACAGGAAAACTAAATGATGGTAAGTTACCTATATATCGTGTTTCCCCGCAGTTATTCGTGACTAAAGAACACATCATATCCGAAAGGGAGTCAACTTCCGCCTCTGATTCTTTTTGGGAATCAGGGGTCCCCGCAACTGACGAAGTTCTTGGGCTAGCTAGGAATTCACCACGAGGCGTAGAATTCGAAGGCGATGTTGCTGAGCCCATGAAACTGTTGTATGATTTAGGTACGGTGGACACCCTTGGAGGTTGTGGTTGTGGTTGTGGTTGTTGGTGCTGTTGTGAGCTCGGCGACGCCGCTCGGTCCGCCAGTCTTTTCTCAAGCACTCCTAGGTCAGTCTTTCTTGCATCAGTCTCAGACAAAAGCCCAGAGAGTCGAAGCAATGACTCCATACGTCCCAATCGATTTTCAAGCCCCTCGATGTATTTGGCACTAAATCATTGTAGACCACCGTAAATTAGAATAGAGCTCTAGCAGAAGGATGAAAGACAAAAGGGGCCTATACCCTTTTGGAGGATTCCGCTTCTTTTCCACCTGAGTGAAGATGCACTCGGACTTGTAATTTATGCAATGCGAACATTTCGGCATTTTCCCATCACACTTTATCTTCTTCTTCCTACACATATCGCATGCCTATAGATAAACAGCGTCAGCTGAACCCTGCCTTCTGAACAGCTACGTACATGCTGTTATGGAGTTCCACGTACTCTAGCAATCCTTCTTCTCTTCGCATCGTTGTTATCTTCAACGAATACCGTGCCGGGGAGGGACGGGGTGACAGGCGAGCCATCTGGATTGGAAGCCCCGAATACATGGGGTGGGTGATTGGCATTTAGGCCACGGTTATCCAACGAAGCGGCATCCATATCTCCTCCTGGTATGTCCATCACAACTCGGTGAGCTTCTTTGCGGGGAGACTAGGCCGCAGCATTCAAGGCAACAGCAGGGCTGGCGGCGTTTAGAGAATCTTTCTGGTGGCTGCGCAGTGGCAGGCTTATCCGTTCGAATTTCCTAGGCCACAGGGCAGTTCAAGATGCTATATAGCTTAGTCCGATGCACCCAGGAAGCCGTGGTATAAAAAGTTGAAAACTGCTTCTCTCGAAAGCAGTTGTGGCGGATACTGGCTAGTAAAATGTCTGGCTGCTTATTAATAAGGATAGACCACACAGAGGAACAGAGACGTCAAGCCACTGGCAACGATGCATCCTATATGCAGCATATCACAGCTACAGGGCTTTTACTGGCTGTTATGGTTAGGGTTATGGCTGCTCGTCCTCAGCTCGCGAAACTTTTACTACGTAGTTTCGACTATCTCGACTTTCTTGATATCAGATGAAAGTTGATAAGCCACGTGAAGATGACTAAGCCGCTAGTTATATTCTTCTCCGACTTCAAGACTTCATCTATAAGATTAACTACTTCTTCGTACACTCGACAGTTACAAGATATGATGCGAGTCAAGTTTAACGAGTAACGACAAGAAGGGGCCTTGGTCGCCCTTCCGGGATCCTCGGCCAGCGGCTCGTTAGTTGCTTCTTTCCCCCCCTGCCTACATAAACATTATGTCCGTTCATAAAGTATCAGCCGGTCCACACGGACGAATCCAACAGTTCGAGCGCCATCGTTTTCGTATCGGAGATAAAAAGCCAACTCCTTCGTCAAATCGGATTTACCCTGCGGGGAGGCGGAATTCTCAAACCCCGACCTCTCGCCATACCAGCCCTTTATGGTAAATGATGCGAGTCTACAAAGGCATGCGATGGGCTGTGCAACGGCATATAGTCTCGATAGTGGACACGCTGCTCTTCTAAGGCAACTTCCTTTGGTTGTACTATGTTGTATGCAAAGACACATCAGGCTGATGGCATCCTTCAGTAGCCCTTCGATTGCAAAAGTTGACTCATGATGAGCCATACATACATAGTAGTATGTGTCTCGTGTTACAGCCTTTGATTTTAAAGTCCAAGCCCTCGCAGGGATCAGATATAAGCTTAATCTCGTGAACAAGTGTGCATCCTCAAGTCTACATCATTTCCAGGCAGCAGATAATACGGAGTGCATACATATGGAGTTAGAGCAACACTTGCATATCCAAATCAAAACTATGGCATATTAACCTGGCCGTGGCACTGTGAATAACAGTGCATTTATACCACGTGACCATTATTTTCACGTCTGCTAGTTAAAGCTACAGTTGGCCGCCTGTATCAAGGTATACCGATAGGAAGACCGGTTTACTTCATACCTCCTCGTGGATATGGTACTACTCAATAGAGCAGTTACCACAGGAAGATTGAAACGTTTTGAACGTAAAGCTTGCAATATATTTCTTTAATTTTAGTTCTCTACATTTAACCGTTTCTGTTCCCATAGGTGAGGTAGACAAAGTCAATAATTCCAACACCGGTAAAGTGAGTTAGTCTTAGAGAGAATTCTCTAAGCGGCGTTCCTTTCGGAGAGCGCGCAGTTTAGCTCTAGCTTCCTCAAGTGGCACAAGGCTTCCCTTAGTCTGTGAGCTGGGGTCATCACGGTTACGAATGTTAACTGAACGAGACTCTTTCTCTTGGGCACCGACCACTAAAGTGTAGTTAGCAAGGTTTTGGACTGCATGAAGAACGGATACACAACGCGCGTGGAGACTTACCAAAGATGAAGTTGTATTGGGCCAATTGACCGTTTCGAATCTTCTTTTGCATTGTGTGGCCACTTAGATCAATGTCCACGTTCAGTTTATCGCCTCTAAGGATCTCCTGGAGCTCTTCAACGTAGTCATTGGCACTGGCCATGACCGGAACAATCAAGATTTGTCTGGGGCTGAGCCAGAACGGCCACTTGCCGCCAAAGTGTTCAATCAGAATACCAAAGAAGCGTTCGAAACTGCCGATGATAGCCCTGTGAATCACGACTGGTCGAGCTCTGCCGGGGCCAGGCGCGGCAGGGTCTGCAGTTGGTGCTTGAGCCCGCTTTGAGTCATCTTCAGGTTTAGCTTCGGCCTGGGGGTCAGCCGGAGCAGCGGATTTAGGAACGGTCTCTCCTGTCATGTATTCGAGTTTAAAGTTCAGGGGTAGTTGGTAGTCGAGTTGAATTGTGGCACACTGATGTTCTCGCTTAAGGGCGTCAGAGATCGTAATGTCGATCTTTGGGCCGTAGAAAGCACCATCACCTTCATCGATATCCCAGTCTGCGCCCTTAAATTTGGTGAGAGCCTCTCGCAATTGAGCCTCTGCATAGTCCCAGGTCTCCAACTTTCCAAGATACTTCTCCGGCCGGGTAGAGAGCTTCAGTTTAAAGCTAAATCCAAACAGCCCATAGATAGCACGAAGGAAATCAAAGAGGCCTTCGATCTCTTCCATGATCTGATAAAAAAGAGGGAGGTTAGTGCCATGCTTTGTCATCTGTAATTCAAACGTAGATATCGTACCTGGTTGTCGGTGCAGAAAATATGTGTATCGTCCTGTTGGAACTTCCGAACTCTAGTCAGTCCATGTAGAGCACCGGATGCCTCATTTCTATGAAGTACACCGAAATCTGCCATTCGCAAAGGCAGTTCTCTGTAACTTCGCTCCCTGTGACCAAACATAATACAGTGGCCAGGACAGTTCATTGGCTTCAGCGCCCAGTCCCGCTTTTCCACATCAAGCTTAAACATGTCATCTTTGTAGTGAGCCCAGTGGCCCGACTGACGCCATATACCGACATCGTACATGTTTGGGGACTGGACTTCCTGGTAGCCTCTCTTTCGGTACTCTGTCCGGAGCAACTTCTGTAGGGCATTGAAAATCTTGGTTCCGTTGGGGAGTAAAAAGGGGCATCCCGGAGAAACCTCATCAAAGAAGAAGAGCTCTTGCTCCTTGCCGATCTTCTGGTGATTGCGCTTTTCTGCTTCTTCCATGAATTTGAGGTGCTCTTGTAGCAACTTCTTGTCGGGGAAGGCCACACCACGTATTCTCTGCAGAGCATCGTTGGTTTGATCACCAAGGAAATATGCGGAAGAGTTCTGCGTGGTGTTAGAGATATATTTGAGTACTCAGGAGTTTATATAGACGTATGCTAAGGTTTCTTACCTGCATGATCTTCATAGCCTTGATTTTGCCTGTGTTCTGGATATGAGGTCCACGGCACAAGTCCACGAGGGTTCCACATCGATAGACAGTACTGCTCTCTCCCTCGATAAGGTTGTCGATATAGTGCAGTTTATATTTACTATATCCAAACATTTTCTTCAGATTCTCTTTGGAAACCTCCAGCCTATCGAAGGACTGTTTTTCTTTGAAAATCCTAGTAGTTTTGGAATCCAATGACGGCCAATCTCCCTGAGTAACAACACCACTATAAAGTAACCAACCATTAGCTTCAACTTCAGCATACTCCAGGAGTCTATCGATCTTACATACCCATTGGGGATAGCCATATCGTAGAAGAAACCATGGGCAGTTGGAGGGCCATGCGAGAGAAGACATCCATATTGACACTCGCAAGCTTCACCAAGTGCATGGGCACTAGAATGCCAGAACACCTCTCTGCCCTCGGCTGAGTCAAAGGGCAGGAAGCGGATACGACAGTCCCTCTCGAGAGGGCGATCCAAGTCCCAGAGCTCCTTTCCGTCCAGCTTAGCAATAACCACACTGGAGCTTATTTCCTTTGGTATATCCTTCAAGAACGAGCCAGGAGTAGACTGCCATGCCTTTGCGATAACGGTCGACGGTGCGCCATCCCCCACTTCCAGAGTTACAGTGATGTCAAATCGAGGCTTGTTCTTTAGCTCCTCCACCTGCTGCTTGAACAGCTGGTCGAACAACTCATTTCGCTCTATAATAAAATCTGGCAGTGGTGTATCAGCCGCTGGGTTTGGCTTCGCCTTGCCTGCTTTCTGCGGGGCAGCTTTCGAGGGGCCGGCGGCGTCCATGGCTGTACGGTCAGGGAGGATGGTTTCTTTGGCTGAAGAGCTCTCTGGAGCGGCAGACTCACTCATGCTGGGCGCTTTTTTTATCCTGGCCTGAACCGCAGCGGTCAATTCCTTCAAGTCTTCTCCTGTCTTGCTAGAAACTCCCTTCGACTTTGTGACTCTATATCAATTTGACAGTTATATCACGTGACATTATGTTCACTAGGTAATTTTTAGCCGAGACTTTTTTATAGCTTTTTGCTTTTGAAAAAAAAACCCCCCAAGTCGAAGGTCAAGCCAGCTTCAACGTCACCAGCGGACGAGTTTAAGAGGATAGAAAGAAGAAGAAAGGAATTGCGCCATGTCGTTCCGTGGTGCATCTAGAGGTCGCGGCACGGGTGCCAACCGTGGAGGCTTCGGGGCTCGCGGTGGTGAGTTGTGTGGTTCGACGTTGGGTTATTATTTATCTATTCAACTAACAGCTTTTTGGTTTCTTCTTTTAAGGCCGTGGGGGGATGCAGCAGTCGTTAGGGCCACCAGCTAGCGTACTAGAAATGGGCACCTTTATGCACTCTTGCGAAGGAGAGATGGTCTGCGAATCGATCAACCCAAAGATCCCATACTTCAACGCACCGATATATTTGGAGAACAAGGTGCGATTACTGCACAATTTTGAAGAAAAGAAAAAAAGAATGTGCTAATGAAATACCGGGTAAAGACTCCAGTTGGAAAAGTCGATGAAGTTCTAGGGCCAATCAACCAAGTATACTTTACGATCAAACCCCAGGATGGAATTGTCCCAACATCCTTTAAAGCCGGTGACAAATTCTACATTGGAGGAGACAAGCTATTACCATTGGAGAAGTATGCGCACCCAGAATTCGTTGGATGATGGTTGACATGGATCATTCGAGCTTACACTCTTGCTAGATTCCTTCCCAAGCCCAAACCACCACCAGGTGCGCCAAAGCCAAAGAAGATCGGAGGCGCAGGACGTGGAGGCGCAGCGCGCGGTGGTAGAGGAGGATTCTCCCGCGGCGGACGAGGTGGTGCTCCCCGGGGTCGTGGTGGTTTCTCACGCGGAGGCGCGCGTGGTGGACGAGGTGGCAGCGGCGGATTCTCTCGCGGAGGTGCTAGAGGAGGTTCGCGAGGGGGATTCCGTGGACGAGGGTAAAGAATCGAAGCAGTCGATTTCCTTCTTTCCTCGCTGGCGTTAAGGAGCATTCTGGATGGGAGTTTTTTATATTACCATATAACGATCTTTTCTATTTGACCGATAAAAAGAGTTGCAGGGTTCTGTTCCAATGTATCAATTGTAACATAGAGCCAATTTACATTTACTTCCTGCTCGCTATTTTCTCCCTTTTCTATACAAAATAAAGAAATGGTATAATGAATCTGAACCCGCTGTTTTGAATTAACTGACAAGTAAAAAAAGACGTGGTGGCCAATGGAGTCTTTCCTTAGTGTAGTTAGATATATGACGTCCCTTCTATCCCGCCCACATCAATATTTCTCTGAATCAAGGACAAACAACTCTCCCATTCCAACAACCTCTCGCCCTGCTCTCTCTCGCGCGCACGCAGCTATTTTTACTATTCGAGCTATCCCAAACGTTGGTATCCTTTTTATCGATAATTAATACGTACAATTTAGACACCTCCACGACCAGCAGCCAGCGATGTCGCGACGAAGCCCTGCAGCGGGCGGTAACAGCCCAGAGAGCTCTGAAACCCCCAAGGATGCCGGTATGAACTTCAACCTAAGAGCCGGCTGTATGAAGACTTTGTAGGACTGATATATTTCTCTCTTCTAGGTCAGGACAAACAGAAGATCCTTCTCTCCGCAGATACAGGTCACTTCAGCTTGATAAGGTGCGCAAAGCTGGAGGGTATGGATGAAGAGTCATTTCCCCCCGTTCTGACTAGATAATTTTTTCGCGGACAGGGCATTGCACCTCGCTGATTTTATTACGGAACTAAATGGTGGGCTGCCTCTGTTCTCTGCTTTATTATGACACCGGCTAGACGAACCGATAGCTGACCAGCACTTTTTCTTCAGGATTTTGTGGAGGTAAGTATTCTGCAGCAATCTAGATCTTGGTCCTTAATAGGATAGAGTGGGGGAGGGTGTTTGTGACTTTATCTGACCAGATCTGCAGTCATGTCAATATTTTCGTCGTTGAGATTCTGCCTCGGGGAATCACACCAACATGGAAACATCTGGATGGCACTTGGCTTCATCCCATTTGGCCTCTTCTTTGATTTCATGGATGGAAAGGTAGCTAGATGGCGAAAAAAGTCGTCATTGATGGGGCAGGAGCTCGACTCTCTCGCGGATCTGGTACGAATCCGAAATATTGGAGAAGACTTTCCCAACTAGCTGTTTATGGTCAGTGTCTAACAGAAGTATAGGTCTCGTTTGGCGTCTCTCCAGCTGTGGCAGCATTTTCGATCGGAATCAGATCGCCGGTTGACCACGTCCTACTTACTATCTTTGTTCTTTGCGGTCTTACTAGACTTGCTCGGTTTAATGTCACTGTTGCAACGCTTCCAAAAGATAAGACAGGGAAGTCGAAATACTTTGAAGGTACTCCCATCCCGACAACATTGGTCATTGTGGGGATAATGGCGTACTGGCTATCTCAAGGTTGGATCTTGGAAGATCTCCCGCTTGGAGTGATGTTGCCAGGCACCTTATTTGAATTCCACCCTGTTGTTGGCATGTTTCTTGTTAGCGGTTGCCTTATGGTAAGCAGATCTATACATATCCCAAAGATATGATGGCCGCTACTTGTCAGCCTTTGGTAACCTTTTTTTGGTTTGTTGGTATTATTCGCTCTTTTTGAAAAAGAGATCAGTTTAGCTGCCAGACGGATTGCATGTGCATGTTTAGTTTCCATTTGAAATGTTGTTCTTTGGTTATACGTACAAGCCAGTTAGATTTCCGGTCAACAGTCAGGGCAATGCAAATATGAAGCAGCGCTATATCTATACAAGGTATAAGAGCTCCAGTGAAGCTCTAGAAGGGCAAATAATCAGCCAATAACATTGGTACAACATATTTGGAAGAAACGACAGGTCGATACACAGCCAAGCGTGACTCTAAACATCTTCAAGATAGAGAAGACATGATGAGCCAGAAGTTATGAGTGAGATAATACGGAACACGCACATAATAAGGAAATAGCAAAATTTGCTGCAATATCAACTCCCTGATATAGAGAAGGATGAATGGATGTGTCACGTCAACGTGTCTGAATCTTCATAGCCACGACACCGACCAGGATAGCCCTCGATCTCTGCTATGAAAAGAACAGGCCAAGGGAGATTAAAGGGACGCTCTCTGCACACTCATTGATATTAACCCTTCAGCCCTGGAAACTGGCTAAGCTGAAGCTGGGAACTGGTATCAGAACACGGGCTTTTGAAGGATGAGCTTTGTTCTAGAGCACGCTTGGTCGATGACTTAGACAAGCGCATCCGTATTGAAAAAGCCTCAAAATAGTTATTCTCCGGTCTCTCAGCCGGCCATGTTCCAGACATTAAAAACACCTCAACAGCGGTCGAAAGTGCGCGGTTTGAGGTTTGGGCATCCCTTTTGTTGACGCCGTTGCTCCAAATGCTGTCTGCATCTTCACCTGGCGAGCCACGTATTTGGATCATCCATCTCCTGCCATTGCACGCCTTCCAACGGCCCATCTATTTCAAGGAAACCATGACGCATCGGGCCAAAATGTTTCCAATTATGGCAATCGAGCACGCAGGCTGCAGGGCATCAGGACGACGTATGTCAATATATGCCGGTTGATGACTTAATCGGCCCCCGTCACGGAAATACAACATGAAAGGACGAATTATCTCTGGCGCTAGAGGCCAACAACCCTTGCTAAGCTCAAAATCACACGATAGCAGGGCTCCACCACTTCTTAGTGTCTTACTTGATGCGCAAGCAAAATAGATTACAGATTACTATTGACAGGGAAAGTTGGGAGCGACTGGGACCAGCTCAGCGCCAAGTCAGCCATAAAATACAGCACAAGAGCAAGAAGAATATCGAAAGATAACAATATATTTGTGTTGAAAGTGGAGAGTAAAACCTCCGCACTGGTGGCGAGAAGCTCCAGCGCAAAAGAGGGAAAGCAAAGACCTGGGGATAGTTCTTGCATTAATGCTTTATACTTGCGCTTACGAGGACTTGCATGGTATATTTTGCTGCAATGAAATGCAAGCAAGATGGGTTGCCTACAGGGATGGTGTCAACTCCAGTTCTGTACATACATAGCACGGATAATCTCGACTCGACTGGACAGATATATACGATGAATGACGAACAAATGTACAAAATAACGGACGATCAAGGGATGCCCACTCTCCCCATCATATTCCATACTTTGCTGGCCGGCCCTTTTATTTTTTTTGACAAACTCCATACATATTCCTCCGTACCGAGCCTGAGGATATGGTTTCTCTACCCTTCCCAATGCTCGGGTCAAACCACCTGGCCTGCACCGCCACGGATGGCACCTCCCGCCCCTGAAGCACCCTAGATGTTACAGGTTACAGAGCGTACTATGTGTACCGCTTTAGGGCCAGGGTTAAAACAGCAGCGGGTGTTCCTGGGCCCAGAAATCAATTTCGGGGTCAGAGCGTATTCTCTACGTACCACTAGGACAACTATCGCCAGCGCTTTAACGACCGGCAAAGTTCGCAGGCGCCGCTGATTGGGTTGCACCGCAGGCCGAGTCTGCATGTGGATGTTGACACCCCTTTTTTCTAGTTGCCCAAGCAGGTACGGAGTCCGTATATACATCGAACGGTTCCTGTTCTCCATAATTACCTGGATATGCTTGCTCATAAACGGCAGGGATACGGCAAGTCTCTCTCGCCCAGACACGCACCTTTTTCTTTTGCACAGAGCGAGGCTTCTCCTCTCCTTTCCATCGCTTCTTCCAACTCCGTCTTCTCTGCATCTCGCTTTTCCTACAGTCCTTTCTCCTCCACACTCTTTTTTTAGGTCATCCATCTCATCAAGCGGCTGCTGATGAGATCGTCTGCTCCAACCACAATCCTTCAGAGTCTTTGAATGCTAGGGATTTCCTTCCCAGTCGCTCCGTACCCTCTTTCCAACATCTAGTCAATCGTTTTTCGACTGAGGTTCGTCCATTTTGCCCTCCCAACATCATCATCATCATCATTCCCCTCCTCTACCCGAGATCACACACTCATCATCATCAGGACTGATATCTTCGACGTATTACACTAACTATAGTGTCATGAAGACGGTATATACATATATCCTATACATACGAATCACTGTGCTAGTCCGTCGGTCCGTCGAACCGGTATCGTCAGGGAGGGTGCTGGAAAAGGAGATGTTTTCAAGCAAAATATAAAACATCAAAGTCCTCGATACCCGTCCTGACTATTCCGACTTACCGTTCTCTCGAATCGACCCTCTCCAACTTAACGCCTTGTCCGGGCTATCCTGAATCTGTTTATACACGAACCAGTCTTTCGCTCTTAGTCAACTGTAAATATGAAGCTATATGCATCAAAGGCCGTCATGGCAGTGGCCTTCCTCCTCAGCGCGAGCATTTTATGCGTTGAAGCAAACCTGGATGAGAGTCTTAAAGGATGCTACAAAGGTCCTGGTTCGTTGAAGGATATGGGACCCACAAAGTATCAGAGTACGGGAGCCTGTCGAGAACTTTGCAAGAAGACACAGAATGCTGTGTTTGCGCTTCACGACACCGACAGCTGCTCTTGTGGTGATAAATACCCTCCTGAGATTCTAAAGGCTGCATCAACAGATAAAACATGTATCTTGGTCAGCTGTCCTGGCTTTGGTGATGATCGATGTTTGTCTCTCCATACACTTCTTTTTTTACTTCTCTCCCCACAGTTGACGCAGTGCATAGCTAAATGTTGATATTCTCTAGGTGGAGGAAAGAAAAGCTATGCGGTCTACCTGACTGGTCTAGTGGACGACCCGGCAACTGAGGGCGGCGCAGACGATGGTGATGCAACGAAGACATCCTCGCCCCCCCAGGCAACAATAACTGAAGGAGGGCACACGGTAGTCGTTACATCCAAGCCGTCCGGCTCAGGACCGAACAAGGCTGGAATCGCTGCCGGGGTAGTCGTTGGTGTCGTCGCCATCGGTGCTATTATCGGCGGTATCTTTTTCTTCTTGAAATACAGGAAGCGACAGCGGGTTGTTGACGAATACCGCCGCAATGCAACCATCAACAACTTCGTTGGCGGTGGAAAGCCATCCTATAGCCAGAGCTCTGCGGATTCACGGCTCGACCCGAGCATGACATCTCAACGGCGCCAGAGCAACGGCAGCATTGCCGACGACCAAGATTTCTCGCGGCGTGTTTTGAAGGTACAAACGAATCTTTTACTTGGTGTCTTCTTTCTTCCTACTAACACTCTTGTCTCTTTAGGTCACCAACCCTGATGGACATTATTAAATATACCCACTTTGATATATATAACAACTTGCTTTCCCCTTTTCATATTCCACCTCTGGGATGCTCCCACTTAATTGATCGCAACTTGTCGATACTTCTGCTCCAGATATTAACGCCATGTATATTCTCACTGCCTCGCCGTCACCTATATCTCAACCCCCGCCGCCTTGTATTTCAACTCTTGACTTTGAACTTACGACCCAAAACCAACTTTCACCTAGTGTTTTCTCGGCGTTATACCACATTCGCACAGTCTTTTCCGGATGGGGAGGAAGGGAGTTGTCGACATCTCCTTGATCTCCTGTATCACTCCTTCACAGCAGACGAACGAGTACGGAGTAGAGCGAAACAAAATGTCTGGGTGAAATCCCAAATGAAATGACCAGTCAACTGCCTTCCTTCAGCTTCCTATGTTTCCTTATCCCCCCAAGTCGTATTCATGGAACGTGTGCTATGATCCATATCTCTCGTGGCCTGCCATATACCAGAATCTTCATCCAAGTGTCTTCTATTTCGTCTCTTATCTACCGTTTCCTTTTTTTATTGAATATATATTTCTCTACTGTTTATGCATCTGGGCGTTAACTGTGTATTATTTCCACCGGCTTCCGATCTACTTATACATCTCTTTTATTAAGTTGACGTCTTGGACGGGCTCCTTTTGCTTCTCATCCTCTCTACCCCCTGAGTACATATTTATGTATGTCTACATATCAATACAACCGTTTCTCTCTCCCTCTCTCCCTCCCTCTCCCCCATCCTTGGTATTATATTACTCGCCCCTCAACATCCAATTGGGTGTTACCGTCGATCAGAGCATGGAGATCACACTCGTAGCGCTTCACATGTCCACTTTTCATCCCCATCCATCCTGCTCCGTTATTGGAATTACTGGAGTCACTGGAGTCACTTGACAACACCCTTCGGCATCTGAAGAGAAGACCAGTGAAGAGAAGAGAAGAAAAGAGAGGGAGAAAAAGCAAGCACTCGCTCTGTATAGCAGGGTCGATATATACGTATCATATTCTCGCTTGCTTTGCACATCGCCGCCCATCGTGTGTATCAGATTAAGCTCTGCTGATCCTCATTCTATTTACTGGGCAGATGCTTGAGAAAATGGAAGATGCTGGCAGGAAGATGATGGGTAGATGTATAAACCTGTTTTCTTGCCAGCGTTTGTGCTATCACGAACCGTTACTCGATGTCGATATATATAGTACATACTTATATGCAGGACGCTCCCCGCGTGTAGGACGAGGGCCTTCGAGGCCTTATGTTGTCATACATTTGACTGCAGCCGATGGGTTCTGCGGTGAAACGGGTTCTCCTGCGCTGGTTGCGTAACGACGTTATAGAGCCTTACATGTACATATATTATTACCCCGTAGCCCCTTACCACTCACTCGCTCACTGCCCAAGGTTGGAGATAGGAAACAATTTGATGATTTGAACGAAGCTCAGGGAAGAACAAATGCTATCAGAATATGCTCACAGGAAAGAAAAGAAAAAGATGCGCGGCTACATGCTATCATAATACTTCCAGAACACGCCCATGCAGCTGGCCACAACCAGATCGAGCATTTTCAAGCCCTCGTCTTCAATAATCAATTTGCCTAGCTTTGCACTGTTTCCGCGTAACCCTCCGCCTGCTCTTTCACGGGCCAAGCTAAGGTCCAGTTCTCCAATCCAGGAGCTCTTGGTCGGGCTGCTGTTTTGGTCGCCGGAGCTGGAGGGTCTGGGTAGCAGTGTCGGCAGGTTGAATCGAATCTCAGCGACTGTCGTAGAGGCTGATGAAGATGGCGAACTCCCCGCCGGCCCTGGGATGGTGTGTTTGCACTTTAGGGTCCTGCCGTTGGTGGCAGTGGTAAAGTTGCAGTGGCCATTCCAGATGGATGTGAAGTGGTAATGTGCGTTCCACTTGTGAGGATACTTGCCGGCCTTGGGAGAGGAAAGATTGAACATTTCACTGTGAGAGGAGGACTGATGTCGATGGTGGGATGAGTGTGGTGGCGGAGAGAGTTTGAGGATACGGGTGAACTTGACAGGACCGGCTTCTAGCCCTGGATCTGATATGTCTTCGGCCTCTCGAGGCATAGGTGGCATGCTGTGTAAAGGGGGCCGTGCAATGTCCAGGCTGCGTGCTGCAGCAGGAAGTTTAATCCCCAAGCTTTCAAACGACATTCTAGATGTATCGATCGCGAATTTCTGATAGCCTGGCGTTGTGATTTCCACTTTTATAGATCCGTCCGCTGTTCCTTCGGCCGGAGAGCTGCCTATATTATCAATTGTGCCAACGTTCCATTGGCTACTGTGAGTCGGATCGCGTCGTATAAGCGTCAGATGAAAAGGAGGTGCAGGGACAGCATCCTGCGGCCGTTCATGGCTTTTCTTGGGTCGTAATGGCAGCGGTGGTTTGGGGCCTTCATTGTCCGGTAGATATTGTAGAAAGCCCCGATGGCTCTGGGGTCTGGTGGCGGACTCTGGCTGGAATAAGGGCCGCTCCCGCTCCCCGCCGTCCCAGCTCGCCCGCACGACGGTTCCGGAAGCCTGCGTTTGCCAGTCCTGCGGGGGAGGCTCTACAACAGGTATCGACGAGGATATCTGGCTGCTCCATCGCCGTGAGTCGTCGAGAGTAATAGGTGGACCTGGCAGCGGACGAGGCGGCAGAATCGGAGGCTGTGGCTCCCATAGACCCGGTGGCCCTAACACGGGCGAATGTTCGCGTACGGGAGTGATACTGCCCGAGGCCAGGTCTTCCGGCTCCCCTTCAAACGTGGTTCCGGCATCTTGACCTGTTATCTGTTGGGGGCGAGGCGGTAGAGGCGGTGGCACTTCATCCTGAGCGTTATAAGCGTCAACGCCTGGCACTGGCTTCCTGCGGGTGCGATTCAAGATCGCAAATTTACTTGTCTGCCGTATCGGCTTCTTGACTTGTTGCTGGGTATGCCGTTCCTGTGCGATAGACTCCAGGATCTCTTCGTCTCTCGGCCCAGCCACATGCAGGAAATATAGCGACGCATTGAGAGATTCGGGAGAGAGACTGGACTTTGTAGGAGGCTTCAGCGGCGAGAGAAACACGTCTATTACAAACATGAAATATATTGTCAGTCAACTGCGCTCTTTAGCTTGTACTGTTTGTTTGCTGGCTTTTCGTCTGATCTCTCTCACCTTTGCTGCCAGGCACGCGGACGATGTACAGAACTAGCGGTTCTAGCGGCTTTTGGGTAGGGTTTCGAGGATACGCAGGCGGGTTCGACGCAAGGTTGACGATGGACCCTAGAGATCGAGCCTCTACGGGAGCGCCGTCCATCGGTCGTTGCTCTGGTTGTTGATGTTGAAGCTGGCGGGGAGTTTTGGGCGATAAGATCGTTGCTAGTTAACTTCCTCGGCGTATAACAACCATAAGTGTTGTAGGCGTGGCTGTGGTTGAATATCCAACCCAACCGAGTCTACAGGTAGTTTTTGCAGATAACAGGAAGTAGAATTAGGGAGAGGAAGAGAGAGATGCAGCTATTTATTGCTTTTTTGCCTGTCTAGATTTCAGCCGCGAGTTTGCTGGATGTTTCTGTATACTTGGACGAAGCGAAGACGAAGCAGCCAATGAATGATATCGCTTTGACGATGTTTGATTCACCTTGGGACAGGCAGAGAGGTTAAGATCAGGAATAATAAGGACTAATTAATTAAATGTCAAGATGTTGTCTTGTCGAGCTTGTATAAATAGAACGAAAGCCACAGCGGATATGCTGCGCCTCGCGATGATGCATATTGATATGTGCAACTCTCTGATCACACGGCTTCATAAGATGAAAAGGTCGAGTCAGCGACATAAAGCTGGATTATATGACAAAAAAAACAAAAAGATATATGCTATGGCTGCAAGTATTGACAAGGGAGTGTCTGGGACAGTAAAAAGTAAAGAAAGCAAAATGATATATAGTATGACATAGGGGCCGGTGATCGATCAGTGTTACGCCCCCTTCCAAAACTCCCCAAGGTTGAATGAAAAGGTAAAAACAGAGAAAGAGGAAAAGAGATGATCTGGTTTTATCCGTGCTCCGCATATCGTGACTCCCAATCGTATAAAGTTGCCGGTTAAAAAGAGAAAAAAGAGGGGGGAAGAAAGATAAACTCCGCGATGCCAGGCGGGATATTCATACTGCTGTCTCCGATCGTTCGTTTTCGGCGATGATGGGGACAGGGAGGCCACGGTTAGGGCTCTGGAGCACCAACTGTTCATGTCGTCGTGCCCGTAAGTAGTCGCTAATAGCACGGATAAGGATGAACCAGCCGACAACCATGAGGATATAGGAAAGCCAGTCGCTTGTTGTGAGGCCATGTAGTGGTGCAGTGCCAGATCCGCCCGATGAACCATCCACGGCGCTAGGGTTGAAGTCGTGGCTGTTCGGATCCGGTGGGTTTACATATCCGTCGTCTTCCGAGCCCGTGTCAGGAGGGCTGTATCCATCCGTGTTCCTCATGTAGAAGCCGTACTGCACCATGGTGAGGCCGAGACCAGCTCTGCTTCCATTCTTGGCAGCATGAGTCGTGTGTAGGAGGTAGGTGAGTAGGAAACCAACGAGTTGAAACGAGGTCGAGATCATGCCGTTCCAGGCAAAGGAGAAGACGGATCCAACGGGGAGACCTTCGACGTATACCTCGTCTGAGGACATGCCGGGAGCAACGATGGTCGTCTCCCAGTACGGAGGAGCAGCATCTGCGGCTGCTTGCTCATAAGTCTGTCATATCAAATATCAGTTATACACGCACTCTCCGTCAAAACAGGTTCCAGGCATTACCGGTGGTAGATCATCAAGCTTCTCTCCTCGCTCTGGTTTGGCCGATAGATTCGCAAACACTCCGTCGTTGGCACCACGGATTACTCGAGACGCCGATGCATTAGCCCTGGCTTGTGAATTACTACTCCTTGCTGGCGTTTCCGGGGTGCTATGGTCGGGCGTGGTGTTGGCAGGGCTCCCCCTCATCAAACGCTGCCTGTCATCGTCCCCTTCTTCGTCATCACTGTGTCCATCATCATCGCCAAACGCATCGGCGAGCGTCCGGTCGGCATCTGAGTGCAAGGGGTCTTGGGATAGGAGCCGGCGAGATGTTGGGGACGGTGTCCGTGAATGAAAGGAGGGAGGAGGGGATGACGGTATAGGCTGTATGGTTTGGGAGCCTACAGCATCGTCTTCGTTGCGAGTATTAACCTAAGAGACAGACGCGCTATAGTCAGTAGCAGGTCTAAAGAGAAGGTCCATGATCAAGGAGTTCTATGTGTATATGTTGATGCCTTGCGTAACTTACGGGCTCATAGCGATGTGAAGTCATAGCTGCATCCGCGACCACAACCACCCCCGAAGCCGGATCTATAAACTGCTAGTAACTCAAGGATTCTCCCAAGTGGCCAGGAGGTACAGAACGTCCTCTCTAGCGGCAAAACAGAATAAAAGAGGGAGAAGAAGACGTAAAAACACCTCGTCAAGATCTCTTCTTAGGCGGTTCAATCTTTTGGGAGTTTTCGACTTTCTCTTTGCGTCCAAAAAGGGCGAAACAAGCCACAGTCACGTGGTAAACCGGTGCAACTTTATTCCGAGTTTTTCCGGCCTCAGGCGTTCATAGAGTTGGAAGAATACTCAGTATAAAAAATATATATATACAACGATTAAGCCAGTCGGGGGAGAAGTGCTGGTTATACAGGGTATACCTTGATGTAGAGCCGTCAGCATGTCGTCCAAGGTTTGATTTTTAATCCAATGGCCCCGGATGTGCGGTACAAGCATGGTAGCTAACAGTTTCAACCAGCTCTCCCCGTCAGATACGATAAAGCACATTCAACGGCTAATACTCAAATGGCCCAAGGATCCGGTTCGACCAGAATCTGTTTCTGTTCAGACATACCTCCAGTCACGGCTTGAGCCACCACGCCCTCAAACTTCGTCCGACTCGCCCCTCACGTCTTTTCTCACATCCATCTTCTCTCGATCTAAACCACAGCAACAATCGCAGGGTGCTGGTTCACCGGAACCCCCTCTATTATCACAGAATAACTTGAAAGCATTACAATCGCTGCTGGACAATAAATATCAGAAGCAATACCCTCTCCGCCGGAACGTGCGGTACCCAGCCAGCCAGCCAGACTACTATGATGTGCTGCTGAAGGAGTTTAGTGAAGCTGCGCATCGGTCGTCATTCACGAGGCTGAAGAAGAGAATTAGTGGATCCCTGAGATTGAAGTAGGATGGAGAGGGCAGAGGACGCTCTGATGGTGGGGAGATTTGCAGCTTTTCTTGTATAAATATTTCATAGAACCAGGTCTGGAGCAAGGGTTTATGTCAACTGTACGATAATAATGTCTATAAGAAGGCATTGCAATTAGCATTGATGAGTGTTTGGTATTTTACTTTGTAGATCCTTCCAAAAAATTCTTCAGATACATCCCGATATGCCCATTAAAAAATAAAGAAAAAACATAGAAAAATAATACAAAGAGAAATCCATGGTATATACAGCATCATCTTTCGCCTACAACATTGGCTTAACATCATCAGCCACCTTGAATGGAGCTTCGGTTTTCGAGCGAACTTCGTCGACGGTGACGCCATCAGCCAATTCGATCAGAGTAAGACCGTTGGTAAAGTCGACGTCGAAGACGCAGAGCTCAGTGATAATTCGGCTGACACAAGCTCGGCCGGTGAGAGGGAATTCACACTGCTTGAGGATCTTGGGGTTTCCTTTCTTATCGGTGTGTTCCATGGTAACAACAACTTTGGTGGCAGTAGGGTTGGAGACGAGGTCCATGGCTCCGCCAAAGCCCTTGACCTTACCTGGAAGCATCCCTAGTGTATGTGTTAGCGGTGGGTTCATTAGAAAAGAGAGGAAAGGGGTTCGAGCTTACAGTTTGCCAAATCTCCCTTGGCGCTGACCTGCATGGCACCGAGGATGGTTAGGTCGATACGTCCGGCTCGGATCATTCCAAAGGACTCTTCACTTCCAAAGATGGAGGCACCTGGGAGGAGAGTGACGGTCTCCTTGCCAGCGTTGATCAGGTCAGCATCCTGCTGTCCCTCCTTAGGGTAAGGCCCAAGGCCGAGAATACCGTTCTCAGACTGAAGCTGTACCTCCACCGATGGGTCGACGAAGCTGGGAGCCAGCATGGGCATTCCGATACCCAGGTTAGCATACATTCCGTTCTTGAATTCCTTGGCAGCACGACGGACAATACGCTCTCTCTTGTTTGCGGTTTCACCCTTACCGAGAGCAGCAGTATCGTCATTCTCTTTGGCGAAGGTGAGTCTCTCGATCTTCTTATCGGCGGTGCTCTGGATGACACGCTTGACGTAGATGCCGGGCAGGTGGACGGCAGCAGGGTCAATTTCACCGACCTCCACGATATTCTCGGCCTCGACGATGGTGACCTTTGCATTGCGACCCATGGCACCGTTGAAGTTGGCTGCAGAGTATCGGAATTGGCAGTTTCCAAGCTTGTCTGCCTTCCAGGCCTTGACCAGGGCATAGTCTCCCTTGATGGCTTCCTCCATCACGTAGCTCTTGCCATCGAAAACCTTGACGTCTCTAGGGGTTCCGTAGGTGGCGATGGTTCCATCTGGGTTGTTCTTCACTGCCAGGTCACCGGTTTGCACGACAGTGCCAAAAGCGGCTGGGGTGTAGAAAGCAGGAATACCTGCACCGCCAGAGCGGCAGCGCTCTGCAAGCGTACCCTGAGGAGTCAATTCTAGCTCGATCTCTCCGGACAGGTACTTTTGTTCAAGAGCCTTGTTTTCTCCAACATAACTGGCAATCATCTTCTTGATCTGTCCGCTGGCGAGCAGGAGGCCCAATCCAGCTCCATCGATACCGGCATTGTTGCTGACAGCAGTCAGGCCAGTGATGGAGGGTGTAGCATGGATCTCATTAATCAAAGTGCCGGGAATACCACAAAGGCCAAATCCACCAGCAAGCACTGTCGAGTTGGACTTCATATCCTTGATGGCCTCTTTGGCGGAGGAGTACACCTTGTTGATCTCATATCGAGCAACTGTGCTCGAAAAGGCACGAACAAGGAAGTGTTGGCTCTATACAGGAAGACGCCTGGTTAGCATACACGATGTAATCCTTCATCACTATCAGCTTCAGGAGCTTTGCTCATACCGATGCTGGGTTGGTTGAGAACCTCCCCGCCGTGCGGAGACACGTCTTTGCCGCGTGGAAAGGCATTATAACTTCACAGACGAAGGAGAAGCAACCGAATCCTTTCTATTTTTCCCTTAAACTGCCCCCGTTCTTCTTTTCCTTCCTCTTCTCTGTTTCGACTGCTAGTTTGTGGCTGTCTCCAAAAGCAAGACGTTTGCTCGTGTGAAGCGAGATTATGTACTTCCGCGCCTCTCGAAGCTCCTGGAGAGGGGGCGGGAAAATTCCGTATCGGCTGGGCGGGCCGAAGTCACAACCGCGACGCACCCCAATCGCCGAAAAGCCAGGATGTGTGTAGGAGAAGCTTCGACTTTGATAAAGCTACTTCATATATTACTTATTATTATTATATAAATACCACCGGAAAAAATAAGATGGCACTCTGTTCTTCTCTTCCCCCGTCGGCTTCTTTTCTCTTCTTCCTCGCCTTTTTTTTCACGCCTTTTTAACCTCGGCAAACTCTAGAGTTCGAAACATGCTTAGTCATCTTCAAATCCGCGGTTAGCCATAGTCACGTGCTATGGATGTTAAACTGCCGGTTCTTGCCGCCTTTCACCCAAGGTTCCCAATACGGTAATATTCACTTCCTGTGCGTTTTCTACTTGGCCATCGCCATTCAGGCTGGCAAGGGAGAGAGAAACATGCATATGCTAAACGTTGATATGTCATGTAGATGGCAATTGATAGGACTTCAGCTTTGGCTAGACGGAAAGTTCGGCAGGAAGATTTCGTACTTGTCACGAAAAAAATATCTGTATATAGTATAGCCAGAGGGCTAGACTGGTTTATAATTTCGCTGCGTCCTATCTCTTTTTCCCCTAAGCTATGATAAGTACATACATGCGCCAAGTTACCATGCAAGCAAGCAGCGGCAGATACCGTGAAGCCAAAAGTCTAAAAACAGTCGTTGAAAATAGCCGTTATGCGCATTTACGAGACATAAGGGATGTTAGGTTTTGTCTCGAGGTTATGAAGGCAGCAGATTCGTAGGTGGGTGCCAGGTTCTAATGAATGGGTGGTAGGTGTAGTCGAGAGGGGTGCGATTTCATGTTATTCCTTGTTTGAGGAGTTCAGTTCTTCGATCTAGTGCTCCCAGCAGAGTATCCTCCTTTCTCAGCGTCCTTTCGTTTCAATCGTTTGCGGTCTGGAGATGGTGATGATTCCTTCTTTGCCATGGTTGTTGATATGGGTGCGTCGTCTACCATGCCCGCCGAGGCTGGTCAGTATATGCCTTGTCCCAGTTCCCTTGAGCAGGGTAACCGATTTTATTATTTTGAGGGGAGACATCCTCCTCGTCTGGGTGAGAGCTCTCCATACCTGGGGCTGCCATTTGCGCCTCTTCATAGGTAGGAGGCAGATCAGTCATTTCTGTGTCTGAGTCTTTGCCGGTTGCCTTGCCGGTAGTGCCATGGGCATGACCTGGCTTAGAGTTGTTGTCTGCAGAGGCTGGAGTTGTCCATTCAGGAGCCTCCTCGACATGACGACAAACAGGGTTCGCCAGGCGTTCCTTGAGTCGATCGTTCAAGTAGACGAGGAAGTAAGGTGTAGGTGGGTTCTTCACATTGCGGTCACTGAAGATTTCCGCCGTGCTGTGCACCTCTGTCACTTCAGAGTCATTATATTTGCGCCATATCTGCTTCTCGAAATCAAAAATATAAATGTAGTAGTGCCCGAATTCTACCGATCCATGATGGATGAACACTGCATATAAATGGTAGGGGAGTGATTTCATGTCGGAGAATTGATTATCTATCAAGTGAGAGAGCTGTTCTATCCGCGAATCAAGACCTACATGCTAAGTTAGTATGTAGAGCTGCTTGAAAGGGGAAACAACGGGGATGCCACTTACGAACAAGCTCCTTTCTTGACATAGCTTCTAGATTTGAGAGATGAGTAGTTATTTGTTCATTGATTTCTACGGCTTCATCCGCCATCTCAGGATCATCTCCCATCAACGCCAAATCCTTGATCTTGTCATTTGCGTCTTGAAAAAGGTCCGGAAGCGATGTCCATTTCTGCATGCGAAACGTTAGTCAACGCAAAAAATGGGACATTTGAATTCTCAATGAGGGGAGTGGTACGTCATTGTTAAGAAGCTCTGCCTGTCGAGCTCTTAGCCCATTGAGTTCTTCTTTCCAAGCCCATTTTTCTCGGCGACGTTTATAGAGCCCCATGTTGTCATGCTCAGGGACGTCCATATAACGGTCCATGTATATGGTCTCCTTGAGCTCTAGATGATGAGTGGATTTGAACGATGACTTCTTGACCTGGTCGAATTGGACACGCTGTACTTGAACCTGGAGCACTGGTGGAATCTTGCTGATGGCACCATACTGTTCCGCATCTGCACCTTCAACATGCACATTTTGCCTATCAAATGCTCCATCTATAGCAGAGTAGATATCTCTAGGGCCAGTGGCGACATCGACTTTGATATCTGACCACAGTTCGTTCTTGGAACGTATCCCGTTCGTTGCTGTTATATAGGATTTGGTTTGGCCGTAAAACAGACTTGCAAAGAGGTATTAGCGCACCTTCCATTGTAAGTGGGTTGGCCATTACTTACTCCATAATCAAATCAATCTGATTCCCATCGGCGTCGATTTTGGTAGGCTTGATTGCGCATTGAGCTTGGAAGAGTACATTGTTAATAACCTCTGTAACGTCCTGCTGGGCACCCAGTTCGACTTCTTCCCGAATTAGCTGTTCATTATCAATGCGTGGGGCTGGTCGGGGGGGAACTGGCGGTGGCCTATTTGGGGCAGCAATGGTCTCTGACGCAGGTTCATCGGATACGCTACTATCTCCAGGGGGGGCAGCTGTTGCATTATCTGCTTCTATGCTGGGTACTACAGGTTCTTCCGAAGCATTGCCGGACTCTTGTTCATTGGGTGTTCCTGTAGGAGCCGTGACGCCAGCGTCTGTCCCAATCTGATCCTTCTTGTCTAGGGATCCATCGGTCTGTGATGTCTGCTCTTCGGGAATTGGTGCGGGAGGACCAACGGGCCCCATGATAGGCATGCCATTAATTTCTCCCAGCTCTGAATTTTTGTGAGTTGAAAGGGATTTACGTCGAAACGCTGCTTCGCTGGTGGAGCTAAGCAAGGTCAACCTAGCAAGCTCCTGAGTTGGTGTTACAAACGCATTTGGAGATGTAATCATATCGTTGAAGAGAGCTTTCAACTGGACGAGGACTATGGGTAAGATACCGTTAGCTGGATATAATATTATCTAGATACAAGAGGAAACTTACATTTCTGTGAACGTTGGATCTCTAAAAGGGAAACCTTTCGAGATCCGACCTTTTTGTTCTGAATCATCTCATCGTCCAGCTCCATCTTGTATCGGTCAAGATCCAGAACCATATTTCGAAAGGGCTGAATGGTAAAGTAGAACTGCAGCAAGCTATTCAAGTAGCAGGTGTTTCCGATATTTCGAAGCCCGACTGGCCAGTCTAGCAGTGCGCGACTCACTTGGCAGTTGTCATCAGCAAGCATGCTACGGATGATCGAGCTCCCGCTCTCTTCAGCGATAACAGCAAGTGCTTGTCGGTATGTTTCTATCTGTTCAGGGGCCTCTGAGCAACAGACGGAGAACGCAGCTAATATTGCGGCATCATCCACAGATCTATCTGGGATCTGTAGCAGTCGGAATGCATCACCGATATCCATTTGAGCAGATGCGGTTTCTCCCGTTTTGATGAAATGTTGTAGAGCCTCTGATTTTCGACTGTCTGCAATTAAACGGACAGCTCGTTTGGCTATATCTTTAGTATCAGGATTATCGCTGATCTATGTCATTTCAAAGATAGTTAGTAACAATTAGGCAAATCTAACAAGGGTTTCAAAACTAATACCTTCGCTGTATACATGGAAATCACGAAATCATCTGGCGTATCCGGATGCACGCCGAGGAAGACCTCAGCTTGCTCGGCAGTAGACACTCCTAGTAACCCCGTTAGTCAGGCTCACACTGATAGTACAATGATAAGAAAAGAAGAGAAACATACTCTCCTCCGCAACCGCTTTTATCTTTTCACTCTTGCGATAGTCACCTATCCTCCAGAGATGTTTTCTTAATTCCATGTCATTCTGGGTATCTTCAAGCCGGGCATAAAATGCTCCAATGATAGCATCATCACTTATAACATGGTCCTTGAAAAAGTCGAAGTTGAAATATTGATAAGATTCCGGCATATCATCATCAGCGTACTTCCCTTTGGCATATTCTGACTCAACAAATTCATGTATTGTCTTGCCATCGACTGGGCCTCGCCAGTGGCCAATAGATCGTAAGCATCTGAGATAGTAGCTATTTCGTGATGGGATAATTTTGGATTGCTGACGATATGCCTCAATGATCAGCTCATTAGACATGTCACTAACAGCGCCTAGGTGCTCATAAAAACTATATACCGGTTAGAAGGGGATCATGACGGTAGGATCGAGATAACATACGGGGCTTTGGTTTGATTATGGGAATAAGCGGGGGTTTTTGCATCTATAAGAGGCAGTGGTAAGTCAAGCGTTGACCAAAGGTTATAAATTTGATATACTGACAGTCCCCCGAGTCAAGAAGTTGGTTAAATTGGCTGAGGGAAAGTGTGAAAACTAGGTTTGTCCCTTGGCCCTCTGCCTCATGTTGTGGCCGTTGACTTATAAGAGCTAAAAGCTCATATGATATATTATCAAGGAATATATTCAATGGGTCTGTATATGGTCTAAGTGCTTTTGTATTGGGCCTAGGCGGCTCCCAGCGATCCTCCTAAAAATACGAGATGTCAGGAATCATGGAAGAAAAAAATGCAAAAAGGGGACAAAAAAAAGAAGGGGTGGAATATCTCACTGCCGTCTTGAAGCCTAAGTATTCAAACAATTCCTTGCAGGATCCTCCACCCGTACCGAAGCAGACTGTAAATTTCTTATTAGCCATATTGATGGACCTATTGCGTTGCTCATCATGTAGTGCATTGTCAATGTATGTTTTTAGGTGCGTGAGAACAGTCAGCGGTGTCGGTCGACCTATCCCTTCCAGCCGCTCTGGCTCCTGAGCTAGAGCATCATCCACCCGCTTCTTCAGGGTGTCTTCATCCGTCAAAAGGTCCACCCATTCGGGCTTGAGAAGCGGCGTCAACAGCTTTAGATGCACTGAGGCTGAGCATCCGGTCTGCGCACAGGTGTAGACGTACACCTCCTGGGTCTGACCGGCTGGCTTGACGGAGTTCCTGAGCCTGTCAAGCGACTCCTTGTGCGAGTAAGACAGGTGGTGTACGGTCCCTGGTTTACAGGCGAGCTGGTTCTTGAACACCACCCCTAGCTCCAGGTGAAGTCGGCATTTCTGACATATCGACGAGACCTTGTATCTGGCACCTGAAATGCGCGGACTCTCGCTAGACGGGAGCACTGACTGCTGAGGTTTTGTGATAAAGCGGTGAACACAGGCTTCCGGATCGGTCTGGTCGACGTAAGCGGACTCGTCGTAGAAGACAGGCGGGAGGTCCTTTAGCCGGTTGAATTTCGGCCGCGTAGGGCTCGCCGGGTCATGGTGCAAGACATCCTGTATGAATCGGGGAGCGGTTTTGCCTAGAAGCCAGAACGTCAGCCCCATCGAAGAAGACAGAAGAGGCAGCACACATACCTAGCTTAACCGGTAGAGACATATAGGCGTCTGTTTCCAGCTCTAATGCACCAGTAATGTGTACGGAGTAGCTCAAGGTGTCCTTCGTCAGCCCAGTGTTTACCCTTATACAAGATGTAGAGCTCTTCCGTTGTCGTATTCTGAGCTTGTATTTCTTCTTCTTTTGCTATTAGGAGGACAAGACAGGCTCCGGGCAGTCTTTTAAAGCACGAACGAAGGTTCCAGAGGCTCTGGTCGAGGGTGAAGAGAGAGCTCGCTGGCCTGGCGGGTAGATTAACTGGGCGCGGCGGGGAGGTGCGTACACGGCGCCAGCGAGTGAACAGCGAGGACAGTCGAAACTCAGGCCCCTCAGGCGCAGAGGAGCGGGTGAAAGAGAGAGAGAGAGGAAGAAGAGACAGCAAAGACTTGCTTCTCTTCCATTAACTGTTGTTCAATTCCAACCTGCGAGCCTCGTCGAAGCTCTTCGTCTTTTCTTCTCTTTTTGGCCGTCAGAGACGCCAAGACTTTCTTCGTTTTTGCTCCAAAACGTCGAGAGAAAAGAAGAAATCCAACCAACGAAGGAGAAGAGGAAAAAAAAAAAAACCAACGCAGCAAAAGCTCATCACTTCTTCTCGCCAGCAATTATGGCCGGTCAGCAAGAGGCTCCGGTGTATCACCCCCAGGATGCGCTCAGCCGGGCCATCAACACGACGATGGTCACTGGCGGAGTCGGTCTCTTCACCTCCGCCGTCCAGAATACCCTCCAGAAGCAGAACGTCGGCCCATGGGGTATTTTCACCAAGAACGGTCAGCACGATCTACTTGTTTCGGTGTATTTCCTCTAGCTGTTCGATGATTGAGTGCTATGTCGGACGATGGATACTGACAGACGTTGTGTAGCTGCCATGGGCGGTTCCTACGAGTTCGTCAAGACTGCTTCCGCCAACCTTCGGGCCAAAGAAGACCACTGGAATTCTGTCTACGGAGGATTCGCTGCTGGTTCTCTCGTTGGCTTCAGAGGTGAGAACCCCCCGTGTTCCCCATTCGGCGTTAGGTCTGCGGTTTCCTGACATTGCTACGTGGCTGCTAGCCCGAACGTTTCCTGCCGTGCTGGGCTACGGAGTCGCATTGGCTACGATCCTGGGTGTCTTTGAATACAGCGGAGGAAGGATAGGAGGAAAGGAGGCCGACCCCTCCGTTGACGAGTACGACCGAAGAACCGCTCTCAGGAAGAACTTCCGAAGTCCAGGCGAACAGACGATTGCAGAGCTGGGTGAACGAAGAGGTATGCCTTTCACACACATAATATACCGCTATAGTCGATGATACTGACTTTCTACAGGAATTGAGGCACCTGGATTCGCAGAGAGACGACGAGAGCGGATAAAACAGAACTACGGGATCGATGTCCCAGTCACACAAGCATCCGCGGCTCCATCCCCTCTCCCGTAGGTATGGAAGTACGCTTTACATGTGTATATGTAGTATATTTCTCGGAGCAGTCGGGCTCTCCCTTTCTATCTCTCTCTTTCCTTTACCCTTTCACCTAGAACAGGAATGTGAAGTCAGCGTTTGTACCAGTGCCTGTCCTCCGTCCAGCTCAACTCGCCGACACGTCCATCTTCTCCCTTTTATCCAATCATCCTCGTCCCTTGAACCTATCAGCCCTTTTATATCACATGACCCTGTATCAGCCACGATTTTGCGTCTCCAAGAAGCTGCTGGATGACGTTTGACGGTGGCTGTCAAGGTCGATGTCGATGTATATTTACATATTATGTTCGGATAATTCCAGGCTTCAGTTCGAGGTCGAGTCTGTCGCTGGTAGATCTACTCTGCGGTTTTGTAGTGACGGTCCAACGTCGACAGTATAGCCAGTACAAGATCGTACATAGCATAACAATATCTCTATATCTCTATATATACAAATATATATTCTCTATAGAAAAATAAATCTACCCGACCGAGGCTATAAGTATGTAAATAATAACAAAAAAAAAAAAAAAAAAAAGGAGGCCAACCAACGACGTCATCAGTTTTTTCTCCTTTCTGTCTCCTTTTCTTCTTCTTCCCCCTTGAGAAACAGAAACAAACCCAGCATCGCCTCGAAACCACTCGACACTCCTTTTAATATCGTCGTCTGTCCCGTCAAGTCTCCTGTCTGTCCTGTCAGCCCATCGGACCAGGGCGGGTTGCTAATTCTTCGGCCGATTTTTTTCTTCTTTGCCCCTTGAACCAGCGGGGAGGACGGCAACAAGACCTACAGACACCCAGAGCCCCTTGGATATATATAATACACACACGTACATATATATACGGATACATATATCTATAGAAGACTTTGGGAGTCGCTCTCGCGCTTGGTCGTAAAACACATCGACCATGGCAACCAGCAGCGCAGCGCACGACAGCTACAACCCCATGTCCAATGCCGACCTTACGCAGTTGAATACAGACTACAACTCGATGAGTGGCTCCCGTCCTACCTCCTACATTGCGAATTCGTCAATTGGGCCTTCGGACTTCCATGTCCGCGGTAACGCCCCAGACGCGTCCTCTCCCAACCAGCAGCCCGCTCACCAGTCTCGATTCCACGAAGTGCTCTCGGTCAGCCAGCGAGGATCCACGATGGACAGCAGCCCCGTCAGAGAAGTACTGCGTACGGGCTCTCCCGCCTCGGTGGCGAACACGATCTCACTTCCCTCGCGGAGTTCGACGCTGAAGAAGAAGCCGTCGCTCAGCAAGAAGGGGAGCTTGCGGCGGGGAGGCAGCCGGAAGAGCAGCCGTGCAGGCAGTGTGCGCAGCATGAATCTGGGAGAGAAGGAAAAATACGGAGTTGCGCAGGACGAAGTCAATAGCGCATTCTACGTTCCCATTCCGACGACTGGGAACCCAACAGAGGTTCTTGCTTCTAGATTTCAAGGTCAGTTGTTTATCGTTTTCACTTGTTTCAAGGCATGGATGTGTAAGAGATGCAAAACAGAACATCACAGCACTGACCCTCGAATAGCATGGAGAAAGGTTCTAAAAGACCTGGTTGCATTCTTTCGCGATATCCAGCGTTCATGTGAAATGCGCGCAAAGAGTCTCATCTCGGCGTCAAACGCTATAAATAATATAGCCATGCCGCCCGCATTTTTAATTTCCGGCGGCATATCCGATGCAACGGAAATTCTAAAGGACTATCATAAGCAAGCTTTACATGAATCCAATAAAGCGAGAGAGATGGAAACCGAGATCATCCTACAGCTCAACGGACTACGGACAGATCTGGGTCAGAAGATCAAGGAGATAAAGAATTTGTCGGGAGACTTTAAGAATAACGTTGACAAGGAAGTTGAAATTACTCGAAAGGCTGTCAAACATCTACATGAGGCACTTGGCCTGGTAGATAGTGATGCTGCCGCTACCTCGGGTAAAGGCGACCCGTTTCTTCTTCGCATGAGCGTTGACAGGCAGTTGGAGAGACAGATCGAAGAAGAAAACTATCTACATCGTGTAAGGTTCCAAAGATATACACTGATCCCTCCGCAGCGCTAACCAGCCCCCGTCTCAAGGCTTACCTGAACCTCGAAAGGTCTGGACGGGAACTTGAATCAATTGTTGTTGGAGAAATACAGAAATCATACAACGTCTACGCCAGCATCTTGAAACGAGATGCAGACATCGCTTATCATGCGGTAGAGCGGCTGAAGGAAGGGCCTATTTCCATCCCCAAAGACCATGAGTGGCGTTATTTCCTTGACCAGACAGATCAGATGGTCGACCCGAACCTGGATCTACGGAATCTAGCAAACATAACTTACCCCGGCAAGGATCACCCAGCAGCAGCAGAAGTGCGCGCAGGCATGCTGGAGAGGAAGAGCAAATATCTACGAAGCTATACTCCTGGGTGGTATGTATTATTAACATCACCCTTGATCTGGTCATATGAAAGGCCCAAAGACATATATACTAACGACGTCCCTAGGTATGTACTATCACCCACTCATTTACATGAGTTCAAGTCGGTAGATCGAATTGCATCCCAGCACCCTGTGATGTCTCTATATCTTCCCGAACAGAAACTAGGATCCCACTCAACTCCGGAGTCTTCATCCCACAAGTTCATGCTCAAGGGCCGTCAGACAGGATCGATACACCGCGGACATGCTTTGGGTTTTCCGTGCTGAATCTCACGAAACAATGCTGGCCTGGTATGATGACATCAAAGCCTTGACGGAAAAAACTGGGGCGGCAAGAGATGCGTTTGTTCGAAGACATGCTCGCTCTTATAGTGGCGCCAGCTATCGAACCGCGTCCCATCAGCAGCGACGGAGTCATGGAGGAAGACGAAGCCGACAAGACTCCCTACTCGGCAGGCCATGCGATACAGAATCGACATTCCTCCGTAAGCGACATCACCACTCCCAGCTCCCAATGGCGACGCCAGAAAAGCGTTGGCCGATTCCCGAGCGATGTTCAGATAAACCAGCACCTGAACGCGCCGCTCTCGCCTTCTAGCTCCGAGAATCGCGATGCCAACAACGCCGTGCCAGTCTCCAATACAGCCCATAACAACGAACAAAGTCAACCCTTCAACCAGGGTATAAACGATGTACCAAGCCGGACATCTACCGACGGCGAAGCCAAGCAGGGAAGACCGATATTCGATAGACGACCGCTCACATATCAAATATGAAGAAT